TAGCAACATATCCTCTTGACAGTTTGAAGTTGCGGCCTTTTGTTCTAATGCACGTCTTTATCAACCACATGAAATTTCAAACTAGATGTGTACAGAGATGCAGCCCTTACTTGCCATGGTTCTAAGCCCTTCCCTTAATATCCAGTAATTATCACTGTCAGAGATTAGGTTGTCCTTTGGTTTATCCCTGTAATGACTGTTAAATTCTGAAATGGTGCATGAAGAACTTTAGCTCCTTGTTATGTTGCTTTAACTTAACTTTACAGATATTGGTGTATTTTGGATACTGCCTTATGAATCACAATGTCAATTTTGCTTAAGGTTCCCTTTCGTAATGCAGGTTTTCATACTTGGATTTTAGTGCAGGTCAGTCTGTAAGACAATGACAATTCAGCATCCATACCAGATAAATTAATCCAGTAGCCACAGCAGATGTCTTAAAGATAAAAGGCAAGCAAATATTCCGTGGAATAGCTTTGCTTTGACAGATTGTAGCTCTCTCAGCTTTCAAAATTCATCAGGGAAAAAAGTGATCTTGAATAACAAGGATGCTTTTTTCTTGCAAGACAAAACCAAAGCAACCTTATCAGATCATCTTAATTCATCTGAGAAATGTTACCTTTTCAACTGAATAATCATTAACACCATTCAGTACATGAAATTATTATGATTTGATGTGTTAGTTAAATTTATGTCCGAGACAATTCTGGAATGGTTTGTATAGAGCTCCCAAAGCAGTTTCCTAATATACTTTAGTTTTTCTTTGCACATTCTCTCAGGCTTCCTGGTCTTTGTTCAAACCTTAAAAAATTTAATTAATATTGATTTAGAAACTTAACATAAAAACCTTTTTAAATTATTGTCAATAAAGTTATATGTGGTGGCGATTTTTTTCATGTCAAACTAAGGGGGTTCTCTTTCACTCTTTATAGTTAAATTGCACATAGTGGCAAGCAATCAAGTGCATTGTAAGTGAATCTATAACTGTCCTTAAGCGTGAGTCTGATTTCCTCCTCCTCCCTCTGCTGGTGTTATTTTCTGCTGGATTTATGAAATAAATCAGTTCACGGAAGGGTGAAGTGAGTGACAGAGCTGAGTTGGAAAAGGGAGTTTGCTGTTTTGAGCTGGTACTTCACACTGTGTTACTTCCACCTTAGAAAAACTCATTGGTTTTTTTTTCTTCTATCTTGCATGTTCTCGTATACGGTGAACTTGTTTCTAGTGGAGCTTTCCAAATCAACAAAAGCATTGTAGTGCTGTCTTTATACACCATCCACTAATCTCTTGAAATATTAAAGAAAGTAGTGTATGAAATAAAAATAGTAATAAGATGTGAGTTACAGCAAATCTGAAATTTGAAATGTGAAAACCTATGACCATCTTAAACTGAATGGAATTCTGAATTTGACCCTAGGTAGCAGAAACATGCCTGGTTAGTTTGTATATTAACACCAAAAAGAGGGTGTTAATTTAAATTTTTTAAAAAACTCTAGCCACTGGCTGTTACACTCAGTTGTTTGATGTAGCCCTTCTAATACAAACTGTGCTAGTAAAAGTATAATTTCATGCTTAAGAGCTTACCAAGTGGGTAATAGAGCCAGCTTTTCACCTAATGGAAGGAGATGGCTCTGATTCTGATATGAAGCAGTAAAGTAGACTTGGAACAGCAACATTAACTTTTGTGATTATAGGCCATAAAGGTCAAAATTGAATGTAAAGATAATGTTTTTGGTAGAGTGATACTGCTGACACTCGTATGATCAGAGTTTTGGTGTCTAAAAAACACTCCTGATGGCTCACAAGCCAGAAATAAGTAAAACATACTGGTTGGAGGGTTGTTGGGATTTTTGGTTTTTGTTTGTTTTTCCCCAAAAAACATACATTTATTAGTTCTTACTGACCTTGTGTGCCTTCTCTCTATTCTGGATAAATGTGCTGCTTCTCCTTCCTTGATCTGCCTACCTCAAAGGGTTTTGCTGTTACAGTCATTAGTTTCAGCCTTGACTAATGAAGGGTGGGCCATGAATGCTTGCTACTTGCTCAGCATCAACGTGATTTCACTGTGTGGTTCCCGTGTGGATTTTGAAGGCGGTTCCAGTGTAAAATGGTTCTTTTTGGGAGAGAGTGTTTCCACATTCTTACTATCCGAAGATTAGAAATGCAAAGGTTTCCATCTTCCCCTTCTGAATGTTATGTCAGCAGCAAGTAAGTGGTGGAGACCAGAAAAATGAGTGTGTGCAAAGTACGTAAAGGGGTGGAGGGTAAGGACTGGATAATAATGTGGGAAAGGCTGGTGAAAATGAGTGTGCTGGATCTGCAAAAGATCAGATTTATTTCTACAAGCAACGTACATAAAACACTTATTTTACAGGCATGAGCAATGATTTTGCCAAAATGAAGCTATGTTTCCATAGTAGTTTCTTTTATATTCAGTTTGATGGTAGAAAAATACGCGTTTTTCGAGATCCTGTGTTTGGCATAAGGATGGTTCTGCTGAGACTGCAGTTGAAGCTTAATTGCATAATTAAAACAACTTGCTGCAGTGGAGGATGATATTATTCACCCTTTCACTTAAAAGTGTTGAGCCTCTTAAGCTCCTATGTATTGCTTAGTACCAGACTGAATTCCATTTGCTTTTAGTTTAGTAGAAGAGTCCTTAGTGGGTCGGTATGATGGTTTTTGTAATGTGTATTTCTCCCAGAAAGAGGAAGAAAATGCGTAAATTAAGGTTACCAAATTGGCTGATTCTGGCTAATACCAGTGCCAACTAATGATAATGTGCTTTGGTTGAAGTGGTATGCAAAGCTCTCACTGCTGGGCAAGAGCATCCCATGACTCTACCTTTAAATGGTTAAATTCCCACATAAAGAGTGCTTCCTCAGTTTTGTTAAGAATCAAGGTAAGAAGGCTGAGCATTAATAAGACTTGTATTCATACTAATTTCACTGAAAGGCAGCAACGTTTGTTTAGTTGAGTGGTTTACGTCATGATCTGTGTACTGGATTTCTATGACAGTTTCTTCCCTTGAGAAGTTACTGAGCATTATTTGGAGCAAAAATCATTCTCCCTGGGCTGCTTTCTGCTTTTCATCCCATGCTTTCTGGGACTGATTTTGCTGTTGATTTCATTTGTTAGCCAATAACTGTTAGTAATCTCCAGAGTTTGGTCTAATTCTTTCATCCAAACATATCTCTTTTTAGTTCTTTTTATAATGAGAAAAGCAGAGTAGTCTCATGAAACTAGTCAAAAGTATTGGTGATATAAACTTCACAGGTAACTGAGGCCATGTTTGGCTGTGCACTCTCTCTGATCAATACTTTCCCCTGAAAGAAGCAAATGAAAGCTAGCAATGACCTAAAACACAATAAAAATCTTCTGGCAATACTTGCTAGGAAAACAAATATTGCATAAGTTAAGTATGTAGATTTAATGAAGTGTTGGTGATTTGGAGTGGCTTATTTTGTGGTATTAGAGGATTGTTTGTTGTTTTGAAGATGTCCAGCAGGAGAGAATTTGCAAACCAAAAAAGATTCGAACAGTCAAGATAAATGAGAAAATCGTGTTTTCATTTTTCTGCTAAAGAAAGCACAGATGTTTTTTATGGAAATAGTGTGTGGGATTACATGTGTGTTGAATGTAGTCATGAGTGATGTTGCAGGAGCGGTTCTCAAACCTGTTTGGAAGCAAAAAGGAAAAAAAGGCTTTCTCTTCAGTTACGCTAAGTGTTAAATGCTTTCAGTATAAGAAAAGGGGGGGAAAACTTCATCCAAATTCAGGGGTCAGAGTAAAGGACACTAGTAGATAAGAAGAGGGAAGGTACAGGCTTTTGAAAGGTATATTCAAAACAAATTAAACTATTTATTTTTTAAAAAAGAAAAAGAACACTGGACATGAATGTTCTACACCACTACATAAATACTGTATAAAAATGGTTAGCTGACTTAAGAAAGCTGCTTGTATGCAGTTGTCTGAAATTCTGAACATCATTCTTGGACCTATGAGTATCTTCCAAAAAGTCACTGTATGCATTCTAACTAATGAATTAAGATATGGCTAAGATTTGTAAGTTTGGAGAGGGATCAGATGTTTTTGTTCATTCACTCATCAGAAATTTGGTTTATGTGCAGGAATCACTTTTTTTAACTGGCAGGAACTAATTATGTGTACAGTTTTTACTATTTATAAAGCTGTGAGCCAAATCCTTGTGGTAGAAACATTAATGCCCTTAAAATGCTTCCATTCATCAGTTTTTCAGCTTTAAAATTTGCAAGAAACAATTTTATGTGATGTTTTGAGGGGATACTTCTTTAGACTTGGGGCAAATTCCTCCATATGCTCTGAATACAGGCATTGTCATTATCTCACAATGATTTCTACTCAATTTTCTTGTGTGAGTTAAAAATTGTGCTACTGATTCTTTGTTCTTGACTGTAGAAGGAGAAGCGAGTTCTCATCTAATATAAAATTTCACTGTGTTATTCACCAGTAGTGTGCAAACTCTGTTAGTGTTACATTGCACAAAAATGCCAGCTGAAGGCATGAAGAGATTAGAGAGACCCTCAAAAGGGGTCCCACCACTCAGATCAGATTACTGTCAAATTGATGAATGTGGAGAATTGAGGTTGTCCTTCAAAATAAACTTATAAACTTATAAACTGTTTTGCTAGTTTGAGCTTAGTTACTGCTTTGAGAAAAGTTAAATGAGGATGTAGTCAATGTCCTTCAATGGCAACACTGTGTTTTAATCCAACAGTAAGTTCCTTGTAAGCAGTCCCCTTACAGCTTCTTAGCTCCTTGAGTAGTTATCTTTTTGTTGTAACATTCAGTACGTCCACTGAGAGTTTCTGTGTGTCTCTCTTCTGTACCACAGGTGTTGGATTGGATTGAAAACCATGGAGAAGCTTTTCTTAGCAAACATACTGGAGTGGGAAAATCCCTACATCGGGCCAGAGCTTTGCAGAAACGCCATGAAGACTTTGAAGAGGTTGCGCAGGTAAAAGCAATCTCATGAAGAACTGTGCACTTGCCAGGGAAATAAACAAAAAATTCCTGCTTTTCCACTGAAGGACTGGGCACAAGGAGCTCCACTACAAAACATTCAGTTGCAGGAACCGACTATTTTGTTTCTGTTGCAAGTTTTTATTTAATTTCTCTTTTGTGCTCCAGCTTTGATAAGAAAATGACAAACTTCCGTAGTCCCACAGCGTGGGAGTCTTGGGGCACAACAGGGCTGCTTTGCTATTATTTGTCATTACTATTATTTTCAAAAGTATGCTTTCAAATATTGGTTCACAGAAGAATGAAAGCTCTCCCTTAAAAGTAACTTAGTTCTATAGGATTCTAGGATTTAAACTTTTGTGCAGCCTGATAAGAGAGGCTGGAGATAATTCAAAGTCCTGCTTTCTGACTTCAAGCTTGGGGAGCTCTCAAATCCTCTCACCACTGTCTCATGTGGAGGAAGAGGGTAGATTCCTAAGGAAACCAGGTGAGCCAGCAAACTGGCCGGTCTGGCTTGAAGTTTATTCTTTAAATACAGTCGAGTTTGTATATGCCCTCCTGTTCTGAACCACTGATACCAATGCTTTTTTCATTGAGGAACCCCGCAGGAAGTTGAGTGGAACCAATGATAGAACTTCAAAAGACTTTTCTGTGAAAAAAAAGTCAGAAGACATATAGATTCAAAGGGATACAGGGAGATTAAGAAGAAGTTGGTGTTGGTGTCAGCCTCCACAAGGGCATGTGAGCTGAATAAAACCCTGTGAAGGAAGCTAGAGGCTAGAATCCTCCCCATTACCAACATTCACTCTCTGTCCAGCCTCAATGATTGGTTAGAGTAAGAATCTCTAAGATTAATCGAGAAAAGTCTCCATAACATAGGGTTGACATAGTGGCCCTTCAGTCAGAAGACAATGTTATTAGAAAATTATCAAGTGACATGCAGGAGCTCAGCAGTGACATCTACTATGGTGGGTGCATCAGAAGTGAGTTTACAGTTTTCCTGTTTAGTGGAAGATGAGGCTCTTGATAAAATTTTGTTGTAAATACAGTCCTCCAGTAACTGAGGACTTGAAAGAGCATCAGAAAGCTTCCTCAATACTGATTTCCTATAACATTTTCAAAAATAATAGGTGTTGCTACTTTTGATTATAAATATGCTGGATTTTCCATATGCATGTCTAATGCTTCATTTCTAGTAAGAGCCATATTATTTTCCATGTGGAAATACTTACTTTTCTGGGTCAGACAAGCAAGAATCTATTTCCATAGGATACTTCAGAAAACCTGAATGATCTCATACTTAATACTGTGTTATTTGAGCAAAGAAGAAAAAATGTTTGAGGGAATTCCAAAGGGAATGAAGTGTGTAGAACTATTAGTGGGATGTTAAAAAAAGTGTCTTGTTAATTTGCGTTATACTTTAAAGTAGAAAATTGTAAAGCAAATTTTTAGCAAAAACTTCATAAAACAATGTTATTAGAGTTTAAAATTATCTCTTTGAGGGATGAATGGAAGGTCTGGTGTTGGAGACACAAAACTTAGATTGGTCAAAAAACTTAAATATACTACAGGGGACTGTCTTCCATTGACAGAAGGATGGACAAAATGATCTAATAAGTACTTTTTTCATCTCTAAATGTGTAGTGAGTTACTGCCAAGAAAGGCACACCCTCTGAGTTGTTCCCCTTACATGTTCTAAAACTGGATATAAATAGGCCCCAAAAGGCATTCCTGTTGTTGCTGTTACAAGGAAGATTATGTTCAAGTATAAAACAGCAATCTGCAATCCTTTGTTGAAGTGTCAGTAACTTTTAGCTGACTGACTCTCTACCTGCATTTCTGGTTGGTCCATGTCTTTGTTGTGGTTTGGATTTTGTTTTTTCTTGTTGTGATTTTGTTTGATTTTGTTTTTTAATAGGACCCTAATCAGAGAATTTCAGTCAGTTCTAGTTAGAAGTTGCGAGAAAGTAGTGTCAAGTGAAGTGTCGGTGGCATGGCAGTGTTCTAGGAAATGCAGGGAGCCAACAGTAATGTTGAGATGTTCCTGATCAAAGGTTCACTCCTGATTTTGAGGGAAACAAAAATTACTATTTCATTTTTTCCTCCTTTCTACTTTCTCCCTCATTCTTTTTCTAATGTGAATGAGGTGCCATTTCCTCAACAGCATTCGAAGAGATGTTAAAATAAGCTGTATGTTGAATAGAAAAGAAGTTGCAGTCAGTAGGCTGTGGTCTACAAATTATTCACTTTAAAATTCATGTGAAATGACAGTTGATTTCTCTTTATTTGACACTTTTTGTTAGCACTTCAGAAAATAGTTAAAACTCAGCTATTAATCCTCCCTAAATTCTGTTATTAAATTCCTAAATATACAAACTTAGACTTGGACCCACCCTTGTAAAATTATGTTGCTCTCTTTGTGTAAAGCCTGCCCAGTTCAATTTCTACTTATACATTTTTTTCTTTTTTTCCCCTCTACCCATAATCATCTTTGTGTCCATGAGACCATTCAGTCAAAGTGTCAAGACTCCAAATTTGTACATAATTGATTCACTTTTGGGCATGTATTTTCAACTTAGAAACACTGGATACAGGTCAATATTATGGTTCTATTTGTCCATGCATTTCTACATGAAATTGTAAGTCATCTTTCTGTATTTCACCTATAATCTATGTCTACTTTTCACAGTAATCTATGCTCAAAAAACATAAAAGATATATGATGAGAAATAATTAATGGGATCTTTTTCCATAGGTAAGTTCTTTTTTCCATGTGCAGACTGCATCTGAGTAAAGAACTCAAGTCTTCTTGGTGCAAGAGATGCACACAAAAGATTCTTTCAAGTTCATGTTTGAATACACCTTTCAAACACCACCACCAGTTGCCCTCTCCTTTAAGGTTATTAAAAAAACGTTATGTATTTGAACTGGTTCTGAATTTTACCTGTGAATAGTTGCAGTACATTAAATTAAAGGTCCATGTCTTACAGTATCTTGTGCCTATCACCAGTTGCATCAGTAAAGAAAAGTGACCTATATGCATAAAAAGTTACCTTTACCTTCCCAGTTGTCTGGGACTGGTTGATGTTGGAACTGAAGGATACATCAGAACCAGTGTTTAATGGACTTTTCTTTCCTTAATTAGGCTAGCTACTTTTTGAACCCATTTATGGTCTTGGAATGTATGCCAGATCCTGTGGCATTGAGTTACACAATTTAATTGCTCCTTAGATGAAAAGTACTTTGCTTTTTCACTTTAAGTGTGTTGTCTGATGTTTAAATGTGATAGTGTCCACTGTAGTTAATGACTAATCTATCTTAATTTTCTTTACTTTTAATGATTTGTATGCCTCTGTTGATCTCTCTCCATCCATTTGTGTCTCTCTTCCCTTTCTTTAGCGGAATAAACTCCAGTTTGTGTCAAGTTCAGTCCATACCTCCACTCACTTCTTTTGCTGTATTTATGGTCAGTTGTACTTATTTCTGCACTAAAATTTAACCTTTGGGTTTTCTATGATGTGCCACTTCATATGCTTTCTAAATGTGTGGTGTTTGTTTTTTGTGAACAATATGTAGAAAAGGTTTCTCAACAGGAAGGCTAGAAAAATGATGGAATATGTTGTTGCAGAAGGTGGTAAATTCTATTACAGAGGATTTTTCAGCCTTTTGGAGAAGAATACCTATTAAAGACTCAGATTTTGGGGCGCAGAGGGATGGACTACAGGTCATCTTGAAGCTCTTGCAGGGCTGCTTCCTTTCCCCTGGGATTTGGGGAGGGTGTGCTAGTGGAGATATTCTGAGGAAGTTTTTAATGATGAAGTCTTTTTTGTCAGTTCAGGAAACTGGCATAAGCAGCATCATGGGAGAACTCCTGCTCTTTCTGCCTAACTTTCTGCTTTCTAACCAGTGAGCTGTCTCCTGGGACCAGCGTTTTCAAATCTTCACATTGCTGCTTTGTTTGCTCCGAGCATTATTTAGAAGTAAGCAGAAAGCTGGGAAAGGCAGTAGTTAGTACTGAACGCCTATTTGCTGTGATTTCTATTCCAAAAGGCAGTTAATATTTATGTTATATTTCAACTCTACTTGGAAGTGAAATTTGTGTGTTAAGGCATGTGTTCTGCTGTTAGGTTTGAGAATCACAACCCCTTTTGAAGAAGCATCCAGGTTGTGATCTTTTCTGAATACAGACAGTTCACCATCCCGTTTACAGAAAGAGAAGTCAGATGTGCCTGGGCCTGTGTAATGCGGAAGATACTTCTGGAATTTGTAAACAGTGCTTCACATGTGAGATAAAGTTTTCATTAAAACGGGAAACTTCTGTTTCAGCCATCTGCAACTGGGTGTGGTGCTCTGGACTGATGAAGTAGTTTTTTGTTTGAGGAGTGCCTTAAGGCTCTTCGGCCTTGCCCCTTGAACACGTGTGAGCTGCAACTATGGAAGTCAAAATACCAAAGCACAGTTCAGAGTGTATTCTGGGCCAGCATGGCCTGAGACAGTTGGTCTGGAGTGTTGAGTAGTGTGCTCCCCACTGAATAAGGTAAACTTATGTTTGTTTCTGCAGCCTTTCCCAGGGAAACCAGGGAGGAGTTCTCTACCTCTCCATGCAATTAAAAAGCTGAAAGTTAAGGATGGGCTAAAAGGTACACAGTCAAAGTCAAGAAACAGCGTGGATTTAATTCCTTACATAAATAGATCATGATAAATGAAGGGGGAACTCCCCCGCAAATATATGAATGCTGCACTGAGTCATGTAATCTGTCCTGGGCTTGTCTGGTAATTTGCTTGAGATACTTATTTCCTGCCCTTTAGTACAGTTTTAGGACCGGACTCGGATTTAAGTTTTGTGGATGTTATAATGTTAATTAGAGGTGTGATACTGTATTTATGGCAAAGAAAAGTACCTTTGCATAGGCTTAATTTACCTTGGCCAGCAGTGTTTTTACCTGGTGTAATTGACGTTGGGAAAACATGGAAAGACACAGTTGAAAAGAAAAAGGTGCAGTTTATATTGTCAAGAATGCTTTCTTTTTTTAGTCTGTGATACAAACGTATCAGAAGACCTGATGTGGTGACATAAGCAAAGCTTCTTTAGTCTGGACTTGGCTTCGGTCTGTTTTCTCCAGAGGTTAACATCCTTCTAAGCTTTCTTGTTGAGTATTTTGAGAACCATTCTAAAATATTAAAGCCCAAGGTTAGGCTCAAAAAGAGCAACCGTATTGTAACAAATGCTTGGACTTAGTCCTGTTTTGAATTAATGAGAAAGATGTAGAGGCAGATTGCAAATTCTAAGCTTTAAGAGTTGCTAAACTTCTGTCTCTTCTCTGGACCATAGCACTCTCAGCACATGAGATACCAGGCTTCTGCTGTTCTTTTTCTGCTTAGACCCAAGTCTCTTGCAGGACTGTTGATCTGCATTTGTTAATCCCGTGATGTGTTGGGACAGTATCCCATTCAGGCACTCAGCCGTACGTGACTTCTAAATCTTCCTATGCTGCTGCTGTTTCACAAATGGTCCGCTTGACACATGGATTTTGGACACCTCACTTCTGTAAGGATGGAGTAAAATGTTCACCTTCTGTGTCTGGTCACTTTCCATCTTCCTGCTGGATGTGTGGGCTGGATGTAAAGCATCTCTACCAGCAGTTAGAACTTCTTCAACTCTAGTAATACGTATTTGAAAAGACTTCTGTCCCTGACAGTAATGATTTCTCCAGTATTGAAGCAGGACAGTTTGCAAGTAGTTAGATATTTACGCTGATCTTTATTCTAGATGTGAATATAAAATACTAATTCCAAGTTCTGGATTGGGAAGACATTTGAATAGACATAAATAAGGAGCTAAGAAATGAATTTATTCACAGTTAAATGAAAAAGTATGTAGAAATCTAACAAAATCATTGGTAAGATTATATTCTACTTTCTTTAAGAAAAGAAGGAAGAAAAATACATTCCAGGGGCCTTTCTGTCATTTTGTTTTCAGTAATGGAGCAACTTTAAAATATAATTACTTTTTTTTTTTATTTAAACCTGTGAAACTAACTTATTTCTCTACAGAACACATATACCAACGCAGATAAGCTCCTAGAAGCAGCAGAACAGCTCGCTCAGACTGGGGAGTGTGACCCAGAGGAAATTTATCAAGCTGCCCATCAGCTCGAAGACCGCATACAGGATTTTGTTAGGCGTGTGGAGCAACGCAAGATCTTGCTGGACATGTCTGTGTCCTTTCACACTCACGTTAAAGAGGTAAAACTTCCACTAAGTTGTGGTGATAACTTCAAACCTTAAAACTGGTACTATCCAATGTTGCTTTCATTGTTGGAACCTTGCCATGGGACATAATGAAAGCCCCTACTGCATGATGAATTTTGGTTTGTAATTCACTGTGGATTGTGAGCTAGGGTAGGATGGTAGTTCTGTTTAAGGATTTAATTATTTATTTTTTGGATTTTTTATTTTTATTTTTTGCTTTCAGAAGCAATTTCTGCCTCCTTTGTTGTGCAACTAAACATGCTTGTTCAGTCACGGGAAAGGGGGAAGGGGGAAGGGTCAGATCAGGGAACTGGTACAGTTAAAACACAGCACTGCAGGGGGAGATACCGTGCACTTGTGTTTTTTTATATCCAACCAGCTCTCCAGTTGTCTGAGTTACCATGGTTAGACTGACACGGTTCAGGAGACTGAAATGTATGGCATAAGCACAAGGCTACTTAAGGCAACTCTGCTGCCCAGAGAGATTTTGTTTCTTTCTCTATTTTGCTAATTTCATTTTTATCTTGTATATTGACAATTCTCTGCAAACTAAACAGTTTATCTGATAATGACAATGGTTTGCCTCATATTTGCAATTTTTAATCTTCTTAAAAGGTTGAACTGATACACCAGGAAAAAGAAAATTCAGCCAAACAGTTTTCAGCAAGTTCATTTTTTTGCTCCAATTCAGAACACAGATCGTATGAATTTATAAGCTCATGGGAGAGGGTGGAACAGGCTACAACAAAAATAAGGACTTAAGGAAGGCATTTTGGTTACCATAGTGGCAAATTTTGACAACTTTAGGTCACTTGGTTTCTCTTTGGAGCTCATGTTAAATCTCACTGTTCAAACTTGGAGAAAATACAAAAAGCTTCTGGATCACAGCATGTCCTGGTATGTGTTCCTTCCCTTCACAGTACATTGAGAAATGGTTCAGTGGCATAGTATTCAAAGTAGCTTCTTCAGCAAAACCTTGTGGATCATAGGAGTGGGAGTTTTTTGTATGTGAAACATCTGCTTTGCACTTGAAACAAAAGCACAAGGCAGTTGGTCTTTGAAGGAGGTCAGGATTAAATTACTTTTTAGCTCTAGACATGAGTACATAGCTCCCCCATCAGTTTTCTGTTAGATGCTTCCTTGCCAATACTCTCCCACGGCTCTGCTTGTTTAAACAAAATATAAATGCTGTTTCATAAACCATCCTTAGGGGGCAGCTTTTTTGTTTTACTTTCTCAAGCACATGGCACTGGTCCATTACCTGTTACGAAGGACAGGAGCAGTCAGCTGCTGAAACATGCTCATTTTTTCTGTATATTTCTTCATTACCTGTTTTTCTTAGAGCAACAGCTGGAATGGTATTTAAATGGAATATAGTTGGTTGTAGTGATGAAAGACAGAGACTATAAAAGGATTTGCTTTCAAAAATCCAAAATACCGAAAAGCAGACTGATCTGTGAGTCACCGTTGAGTAATTCTGGGAGGCTGATGCAGATGTGCTGGCATGTTGCCACTGCTCCCCTAGATAATAATGTTTTATTGAAAAGGAAAAAAAAATTCTATATTTTGATTTATTACTTTGGGAAAGTGGATATTATTTTGAGTCTGTAAGTACACACAGCTGTTACTAGGGCAGCCTTTTTGCAGCCTGGACTTTGAGGAAAAGGTGCTGTGGTGGCTGATGTGCACATGTTGATTTTTTTGGTTTTGTCATGTGGACGACCTTTATAATTAATAAAGGAAAATTTTTAAAAGTACTTATTTATGTAAGAAAGACTGTGTTTTTATTTATTTGCATTCTACTTAAAAAAATACAGATGAGAGAGTGAGATGCATGGTTCATATTTAGTAGACTAGTCCGTTGGTTCAGGTGCAAAGAAATAGCAAGCTCAAAGCTGTCTTGTGCTTTCTGTGTTCTGATCTGTTTTCAAGAGCACGTCGTTTGTTATCAAACTTGCATGTGGAGCACTGAGAAGGCATCACAAAGCAGATGGAAGATAAAAATGCCCTAAACCTGAAAGTCATCCATGCTTTATTGGCAGGAGAATTGTGTTTCTCCTGCAGGATGTGGGAAATCACTGAATAAATTAGTGCATACCTGTAAGCAATGTAACCTTTCTGCCGTATTGTGAAGGAGTTAATGTGCATGCTTAGCTAGTGAAGAGAGGAGTTCAAATAGTAGGATAATATGTTAGCTGTTAAACCAGAAAGAGGTGCTTCGGTTGTTAAGTAAATAAAAAAAATCCAACACCAAAAAACCCAACCCACCAACCAGTCAACCCTCAAACCACAAAAAAAACCCAAAGAAATCAAAACACCATCAGTGCATTTTGCCCTTCAAGTATTCAGGCTGAATTTTGTCTCTTGTATCTTTTTGTATGTTTTCCTGGTAAAAAAATAGACATGAAGAGTTTAAAACCTGTTTATGTGTGACAGTTCGGAGGGAGCCACAGAGCTGAGAAAAGCTGTTTGTCTGAGTTGTTGGCTGTTTTGAGACTTTGAAATCTGGCTCTGATATCCATCAAATCCCTTGATTTTTTTTGAAGTAGGATGTTTTAGTGTGTTTTATTCTTTTCCCCAGAAATACTTCATGTTGAATGAATGCTTCTCATCTGGATGAGAGCATTCCAAAACCACTTCTCCCCTGTAGATTTACATAACCTATATACCTGACACAGGATTTGCCTACAACTTTTCCCAGCTTCCCTGGGAAGCATCAGCCCTTCAGTTTCTGCACAGTACTCTTGTTCTGCTCATGCTTAGTAAATCAGCACAGTTTCTGCTTTCAGAAGCAATTCTTTTGCCACAAAATGCTCGTCCTGGCAGTAACAGACTTTTGCTATACCTGTGCACAAAGCAGCTGTGTAGTACGTGTGCAGCAGCCTCTTATGATGCACATGGAAAATACTGTCTGTCTTTAACATTTCCAGAAGTCTTGTAGTGAGGTAGTTACAAGCTGGTAGAGGTCTCTGTGGTTTACAAACATGAAAAAGCAACATAAAAGTTCTTAGACTCCTCATAGATTAACCTCAGTAGACAACATTTCTCGCTAGAGAAAAAAAGGATGTATTCAGGGAAGGCAGAAATAAAGTTTTATGTAGTGGTATCACTCGTTTTGCTTAGTGGTGATCTGAGAAAATCAGTTGCTTGCTATATATAAATTGTGATTCCATGCTGTTACGTTATTACTACTTTTAAAGTAAGGTTGTGAATATTGATTTTTAGTAAGACATTTTGATCTGTAAGCCAGACTTCTCAGTAAGTAATGTACTGAAATTAAGCTGTGCACTGGCAAGCTTGAAAAGTGTTTGGGTTCGTAAATATCAGTATCAGGATCTTTGCGTTTGAAGTACTGTGTCCTGACAGATTCCCAACCTGAGGATGAATAAAATACAATTTAATAACTGAAACTGACAATTGCAAGGCAGTGAAACCCCTATGACTTTTGTGCCTTTTGATATTTAATAATAAGGCAAGGTACATGGTGAGAAAACAGTTGCACAGATAAAAGATAACATTTCTTAAATAAACAGTTATCAGAAATTTTTGTGTGCGAAACACAGGAGCAGGAGTCTCAACAGTCTTTGCTGTGAAATGTGTCACAAAGTAGAGATGAACAGCATTTTGGTCTGAGTTCAAACTCTTCTGCACACAAAAATACTCATATGCACACACACACTCTCCAGAATTTCTCTCTCAGCAGCTATGAGTGGGAAGACTGAAATCCTGTCCAAGCCAGGTGTTTGTTGTAGTGCCAAAGTAGAGCAACAGATATTTTCCTAACTGGAATCAAGTGTGGGAATACAGATCAGGCTGACTGTAAGTGGAAGAGAATGATCTCTTAAGAGCCTGCTATTTTTTTGCATATAAACTTTGTGTGTATTCTGGCAAGTTGATGATAAAATAACTCAGAGCACTTTTTATGTATACACAATATGCTTAATGGTGTTAGTAGAAGACATCTCTTCTTTTTTTGTCTTGCTTAAACTAAACTTTGCTCTAGAATAGACCAAAGTTGAAACAAAGAGAAGGGAAGTGGAATTGGCTAAGTTTTCAAATAAAAAGCTTTCATTACCAAAGTAATGAGTAGTAGTCTGTGCAAGCTTTGGAAAAAGGTGGCAGCATTTTGAAGGTGCCAGTGCATGGAGAAGGCAGAGGAGGCCTTGCTCTGACTACAGTGCTGCCAAATCATTCACATCTAGCTATGAGGCACATCTATTTGATTAAAAAAAAGCTTGTTGATAGTGTTGATAATCGTCTTACTTTGTCGCACTGCCAGAAATACGCTCTCCTGTGCATTATCCAGTATGGAAGGGTGTCCTTCACACAGCGGTGCATTCCTTTTATCCTGTGGTGAATCCTGAGATGACAGACCTGCTCTTCCAGTTGTCTGTCACTCCTGGGTATTTGATCCTTATGTGCTGGTGGTCTCCAAGAAAAATTTGCATGTTGTAGTAACACGGCCCTCTCCTGTGTGTGCCCTTTCCAGGCAACAGAGCATCTTCTGGATTGCCCCCATCTAAGAGTAAAGCCTCTGTCTCTTGGGCTTGTGCATCTCTAATATTATAATTGTGTCATTATAGCACAGCAATGCTCAGTGTGACAGGTCTTGCAAAAGACATAAAGTGCAGTCTCTGGCCGGTTTTTTGCTGATGGTCTTGAATATGAGAGTTGGGAAGGACACTTTTAAAATTTGAAATAAGAAACACATTCAGTGGCTGCACACTCAAGTGTGTTGTGGCTTACTGCTTCAGTAGAACTGGAATCCAGTTAGCACAGCTTTTCTTCTCTCTTGAGCTTTTTAATACAGGTAGCTACTTTGCATGGGAAAAGGGATGAAATTTAAGTGCTATTTAAGAAATAGCACTAAGTGCTTGATAAAAGTGAGGCAGAAGTAGGCCTTTATTAAGCCATGATATAGACATTTTTTTCTTGTTCAGGTAAGAAATGGGAGAAATGTTAACAGGATAGTAGTAGTAGTTGGTGTAATTTTAGGAAGATGTGAGAAACTTAGTTTTGCTTAAAGGATGAATTTATACTGAATAGGAAATTAATTCCTTTATAACCATAAAATAGATAGGGATATTTGAAGCTTTTAAAGATAATTCTATCTAATTAAAAAAAAAAAAAAAAACAAACAGGCATTTAACATCCTGAATATCACTGAAAAACCCTGGAAGACAAACTCCAGGGGGTTTAACATCCTATGGGTTTTGTTTTTAAAAAGACACATTTTCTGTCTGCTACATGTCCTGAAAGCCAAAGCTTACAGACAGAGATACACACATTAGCCCCTTTCTACACCTAGACGTTCTTGTTTGACCCTGTTCAAATAATAGCCCCTTCAACAACTGCGCCTGTGGTAATACACATGCTGCAACACTGTGCTGGGGGACAGAGGCAGAAAGAGGAATTTGCAGTTTTTACATGCAGAAACTGCATGCCTTTCTTTGCCTGACCTGCTGAGAAGGCAGACTGCATATCTGAAAGCCATTATTATAAAAATGAAAACAATAAATGGTGAAAGAGTGTCATGGATATTTTACCCTTATAAAATAACTTGTGCTCCTGGGGAAGGTATTAATTCAAAAATAATTGTTCTCTGATTACATTCAGCAAAATACAGTAGGGTCTTACTTAACTGCAGTCATTCAGGAGATGGCTGAGATGGGACTTAAATGGATAGAGGCCCATGATGGAAACACTGTGACTTCCAGGATGTTGCAGGCAATTAAAATAATACCATCTCAGTGACTAATGGCTTGCTCCCAAGAACTTAGGAAAGAGGTAGTACAGGATGCAGGCTCATTCAAGCAGATGTTTCTTAGTCTGTGCTATATTTAGATCAAGAAAAAAAAATCTGCTGGGTGAAACATTTGCCTGTAAGGGATTCAGAATTTTATTTCCCTCTCCAAATAAGATAAGATGCAAAGAGCAGATGAAAAGAGCAGAAGAGCCTCCTGTGACTGGATTGAGTTATGTATACAGCTGTCTTGCCACGGGATAAAGTTCTTACTGATGTTGCAGAACCTGATGGTTTGTTTAGGGAATCTTCATGCTGCTTCTCTTAGAAAGAATAGAAAAAGACATGACTGGAAGTTGCTCAGAGTTCACACCAAGAGAAATTTAATAGTTTTTTAATGATGAGAAATTTGTGGGTTTTTTTCCCAGTGGGTTTTTGTTGCCAAGCTCTCTTTTATGGAATAATGGGTTACCTCAGAAAGTCATTGCACTGTAAAATCTGTAGTTCTGCACTGCCGAACATGTATGGGTAAGCTGTAGTCTCTGTTCACTCTCCGCTCTAAACTGTTTGCTTTCTTTTGGCTTTGCTGTGCACCCTTTTACAGTCTTCATCCTTAATTTTGTATCTGAAAACAAGGTAATTTATGTAATTTCCAGTATATCCAAGGCTCATTCTGGTTTGAAAGCTATAGAGAAGCCAGCTGGCTATTGCCACCCATTAAGAATTGAGCTCCTCTCAGTTTGTATGAATTTGTATCCATCTTTAATAACCTGACAGTTTTTTGTGGTTTTCTTTTTTTTTTTTCATCTATGGTGGCTTTATTATAACTTTTGTGTATAAACATCAAGATTATTTTGAGGAGAAGCTATTTGTCAGAAACTTTCTTGATGGAAAAGTGTAAAAAGCTTATTTAGTAATCTATCAGAGTAACTTTTGCTATGGAAGTGTCACAGAGCTGTTTAGTCACTTCATAAATGGCTTAAATTGTTCCACTTTCAACAGCGTATGAATCAAAGCTAGGCAAGTAATGCATACTAATTACTCTCCTTCTCTTTCTGCACATTCGTGAAATGTTTTTCCTTCCCAAACAGTGGACAATTCAGCTAATGAGCTAGGGAAATGAAATACATTTTTGAGGCCTTTGGTACCCTGAGGGCAAGATACTATGTTTCTAGTCATGGTGTGCTGGCCGGGCACTAACTCAGTCAGCATAACACTTTGTCTTTCTGCTAAAGGCAGGTGGTGTTGCCCTGAACTGGCAGAGGGAGAGGTCTGCTTGTTCTGTGTTGGGCATCCAGAGTGAGCTTTAAGAGAGTTACTCACATGCACAGTACATCATCAGTCCAGCACTTACAAGTTTTGTTGCTCCTGCCAGGTCTTTTCCACTCAGTTATAGAAGTGACTGAAGTGTATGTGAAGAATAAGAAATGCAGAGGTGAGGTGTATTCTTTGTAAGGTCTAACACGACCCAGCTGCAGAAAACACATTGCAAAAAATTGAAATTATTCTCGGACCTGTCTTGAGCTGCAGTGCAGATGCTTTTAAGGGATCCAAGGAGCAAATTTGATATAGTCCTAGAGACTCAAAATGGTTTTAATCCCAGTTGCTTTGTTATAAACATCTATGAAAGTTGTGCCTCTTATAGTAAATATAGTAAGCATAGAGTGTAGAGGTTTTCCAGCCAGCATCAAGCACATTGCAGAAAACAACAAGGTGTTACTCTCTATTGTATGTATTTGCACAGTTGCAGGGTGTACTAGTTGTGTGTGGATAGCAGCTCACTTGGAGGGTCTCTGACTTGATGCCCTGTTATTTTGATTCAGACATAAACTTTATTAGCTGAGAGAGGAATAAATACATGTCCTCTAGGCATTGAAACATGAGTAAAGTTTTCAGGTTGTATTGTCAGACTTCTTGCTCTTAAGTTTCATTTGTCTCCAAGTTAAAGTTGCATTCCAAAGTATGCATTTGGAAAAAAAAAATTGGATGCTGCATTTGGTTATGCTGGAATGAATGTTGAAGAGCACTTCTGACCCACTTGTTAAGTTCTATTGATTTGTGCTCCTTTTAATAAGAAAGACTGCTGTGCCTTGAGCTTGTGGTGTTGATGGTTGTGGAGTTGCATTCAGATTTGTGACAAGCATTGTCTTTGAAGCATATGAGTAGTCAGAATAACAGTGTATGAATAGGCAGTTCTGATTTGGGGAGGAGGGGTAGTAGATTTGTAGAAAAGAGTCTGGTTAAATGTCATTAGCTCTTCCCAACTGCGAAAATTTAACCTATAGCTTGGTTTACTCAAAACTTTCCTCAGGAGACATATAAGACTATGAGATACAAAAACTAGCATTTGATTTTAAAACAAAGCTTCAAAGGAACTGATTAATTAAGATCTAGAATTCTTCACTGAATTTTCTATTTTAATGAAGCTCCATTGGTGGTTAGGAAACCTTTATGATCAGAATATTATGCAAACAGGAGCATGAAATGGGTAGAAAATGTTAAGCAAAGAAATAAAGAAAACATTTGGTTTTCTGTCTTTTGAAATTAAGCCAGTTTTGATTGCTAGTGTCTGTATTTTCATAATGTTAATATTTTAATTAGGTTCAATGTATCTGTAAAATTTTTAAAGTCAGAGAGTAAATGTCATCAAAATAACTAATACTTGAAATCAGATCACAGTTATTTTATCAGGAAAAAAAAATAAAAGCTCTAATCATTGTTTGTGGAATTGCAGCATTTGGGATGGGATGCTAAAATAGACAGGAGGGACTGGGTTTGAATGTTTCCTGTGAGAGCAGCTGTTCCACTGTGCTGTTGTTGCTGCTCATGGGAGTGTTGCAGGATACAGCCGTGCTCCCTCTCTTCAAGCAGCATTTTTATCTGTTCCACAATAGATGTCTGACGGTTTGCTATTAGTAACTTCCACACACAGCTTAAGATGCAACAGCTTCCCTTATAAAATTGTGGAGAAGATTACTGTAGGATTCAAATGACCAGCAGTGATACCTGGCTAGCATACACTGAGGGATTTTTGTGTAGGCTGCAGTGCATGGGCAGTTTGGAGCAGTTTTGCACATGTGAAGCAGGGAGGAAAAATGCTGAATTAACTAGTAGAATTGCTTATGAGGAATTTTGTTGTAATACCGTGAAATTGAAATCAAGAGGGCAAACACAACATGATAGAACAATAAATTCTCACATCTGGTTTGTCTCTGTATTTTGTTTTCTGAAATGCCCTTTCTTTTTCCTTTTTTTTTTTGAAGGCCACTGAAAAGTGTTATGTTGTCTGTGTGCATGTGTCAGCCTGGCAGTGCAAATTTGATGGTGGCTACAATACATCTCCCTTCCTTCCTTCCTTCCTTCCTTCCTCTCTTCTCTCAGGGAGTGTTACCATAGCATTTCTCTCCCAGGGACTCTCGCGCAGAGCTGCAGATGGGATTCTCGCTATGAACTCTGTGCTGCTCAATCGGATACGCTTCGTTCTGTAGAAGGAAAATGGGAAAGAAAGGGTGACTTAGCAACACGGATAAAGCTTTCCTGGTATTTCCAAGAAACGAAAACTATTTGAAACAAAGGCTTGTTTTCATTCATATGAGGATGAGATTTTTCTATTAAGAAAAACAAATCCTCTTTCTCCCTGCCACCTCAGTCTGTTTTCTCTTGTCCAGTGAGACTGATTTGGAATAGTGACTGCCTTATCCTTGGGCTTATATTTCTTGCTTTTCCCCTGTCCTTTAGCTGTGGACGTGGCTTGAAGAGCTACAGAAGGAACTGCTTGATGATGTCTATGCTGAGTCTGTGGAGGCTGTCCAAGACCTGATTAAACGTTTCGGTCAACAACAACAGACCACTCTGCAGGTTACAGTCAATGTCATAAAAGAAGGTGAAGATCTTATACAGCAGCTAAGGTAAAATAGATTCTTATTTCCATCTCTTCTGATGTTCAACTCATGTTCTGTGATGCTCTTTCTGTTTTGAGGGTAGAGGTAATGCGTTCAAGATATGACCTATACATAAAACTTGTAAATATTAGGACTACAATGATTTTTCATGCAGTACTGACTCTAACCTCTGTTTACAGGAAGCTCAGCTTATAAACACTATCTCCACAAGAAGGAGATTTTGTTTACGTAAGCTGCCTTTTTGATAGGAGAAATCGTATGTCTTTGTAGTCTGACATGCAGGGCTCTACAGTGTTTGGAGTTTTGAGCAGCAGCCTTTTTATAAAGAGACACTTGAATTTGTTTTGCAGACTGATAAGTAACTTCACTGTAGTAAAGCTCATCAGTTTGCAGTCCATTTCATTCAGCAACAATCTGAATAAATACATTTGGGCCACAGCTGCTCTGGTACATGTCTCCTTTCTGCAGGAAATTAGCATATCTGAATTTGCAGGTTTTATACTCAAGTAAAAGATCAGGTAATTTTTTTTTTTAGTTGACTAATTTGGATTTTCTTTTACTGTCAGGAAGATTCAGTAAAGAGTTATCAATCATATGCCTCTTCTTTTCACAATAGAAGGGTTTGTCTCTGATTTGAAATTTTGCCTTTCCTGTAAACAGAATGTCTTTACATGATGAATAGGTCAAAAAATGAAAATAATCATACTTCCTAATGATTTTTCAAGTACTGAAACATAATCTGAATTTTTATTTACAAAGATGTACAGACTTAGCTTTTGTGTAATATGGCTTGCACTAACCTTATCTGAAACAGGCTTATATTTTGTGGTCATGTGTAGCGTCCAAATTGTACGGGATTTTATTCAATAATGCTCTTTTTTTCTTCCTCCTCCCCTCTCTCTGCTTTGAATAGGGATTCTGCCATTTCTAGTAACAAGACCCCCCATAACAGCTCGATCAACCACATAGAGACAGTTCTGCAGCAGCTGGATGAGGCCCAGTCTCAGATGGAAGAGCTTTTTCAAGAACGCAAGATCAAGCTTGAGCTGTTTCTGCAGCTTCGCATATTTGAAAGAGATGCAATAGATGTGAGTGTCTGCTTTGGGGCTTGAACTGCACGAACTTCTCTTGTGTACCAGTGTTTATGCTGAGATTGTTGTGCAGTTGCAGTAGCATGTGGCTTAAATGACTGAGAGACTTAGTTCTTACCTTATGACATTACCTGACCTGTCTTATATGTGAAAGTGTCCGAAAGGTGCGGAGCTGAGCTTTTTGATTATAACTCAAGCTCTCAAGCTCTGGTTGGCTCTCAGTGCATCTTTAAGCAAGCATCTAGTAAAATCATGATATGTCAGTTAATACATCTGGTAAGTTCAGTTTGAATATCAAACTGCCTTGATATATCTAGTATGCTTACAGTTAATATGAATAAGACCTGTAAGATGGTTTTGTACAAATTCTCTAAAACGGTGCTTTGTAGTAACTCTCCTCTGCTTTTTCTTCTCCAAATCAACAGTTGTTTTTCATTTTGTAGCTACAAGTAGTGTTTGGAATTATGTCTTAATCTTTGGGGACGTTGTATGGGCCGTCTGTTGTTTTTTTGTGTTTTTTTTTTTTTTTTTAAATAAGATTTTTTTCCACCCCTGAAAATAATTCAGAAGCAGTTCTAGTGCCACACTCCTGCAAAACTTCAAGTTTTGAGACTGTTCAAGCTTTGAAGGAGAGTTACAGCTTATCAGTTGTAGAGTTTTTGTTTGTGTGAAGGGACGTGTACAAACAGACATAAAACTCCATAGGGGGCTTAGGTTAATAGAATTGGCATTATAAAGCTTCCGCTAAGTTCATATGCCTTTTGTAAAACCTCTAGTGCTGTACACAGTGACTGATACCAGGTTGGTACCTCAGAATTTTCAGGGTTATCTACTTGTAAATGATTATGGTTGATAATTCTACTTCTTCTCTTGTGTATAGTAAAAGCTGCAAATGTTGTTTATGAAACTCTTGGTTGGTTGGTGTAAGGGCAAAGAGACAGTTGGCAGAAGTGATAGCTTCTCAGGTTTTAGTGTTTTTACCTCTTAAAAACAGGATTAGATGTCTTTGCAGAAGTCTGGTTTAGCTAAGCACATTGTTAAGTGCAATGCAGGAATAGACAGACACAGTTCCTTGATCAGTGCCTGTAGAGGAAGTGAGAGTGTGTGCTCTGCAGTACTAACTCTGATGTAAAGGAAAAATAAGAAGGTTTTTCTTGCAATTTTGCAATTCACAGTGGCCTGCAGAGAGTTTGCTACTTTGATTATGTGAGAGTAGCTGTCTCAAAAATGCTTACAGTCTTTGCAGGAGTAATCTGCAGTGCTCAGTGTCTGTGAGATGTTCTCATAACACTTTTACTGAGGAAATGGCAGACGTGGAACAATACATACCAAGAAAATTAATGGAAGAATTGATTGTGATAAATGTTTGAATGAAGTTCACGATTAAGGTGATTGCTCTCTGTAGGTTACATACGCCAGGATTCTACAGGAGCAAAAAGCTGGTTGTGGGAGCCCTGCTTAACATATGTGTTCTAGTCGTGCAGTGCAGGACAGCATCTATATAGGTAGTAGTACTTGTACTACTTATTTGTTATTTGTTATTTGGTACTCTTATGTGCCCATAAGATTTTTCATTTGAAAGCTGCAAACCCTAACTGCATAGAATAGAATATACCGAGTTGAAAGGGACCCACTAGGATCATTGAGTCCAATTCCTGGCCCTGCACAGGGCACCCCAAGAATCACACCATGTACCTGAAAGTGTTGTCCAAATGCTTCTTAAACTCAGACAGACTTGGTGCTGTGACCACTTCCCTGGGGAGCCTGTGCCAGTGCCCAACCACCCTGGCTGGATGAAAAAGGATGAAAAAACTTTTCCTGATATTCAGCCTAAATCTCCCCTAACTCAGGTTCATGCTGTTTCCTCAAGCCCTGTCACTGGTTACGAGAGTGAAGAGGTTGGTACCTTGTCCCTCCACTTCCCCTCATGAGGATGCTGAAGACCACAGTGAGGTGTCCCCTCAGTTTTCTCCGGACTGAGCAAACCAAGTGACCTCAGCCACTCCTCATACAGCTTCTCCTCTGGACTCTTCACCATCCTTGTACCCCTACTTTGGATGCTCTCTTATAGCTTAGTGTCTTTTTCAGATTGTGTTGCCCAAAAGTGCACACACTTGACAGGTCTTGCTTTATTCTATAGCTGATACTTGGCATGCTTTACATTTTGACACGTACAGCATTAAGCAAAGTACCAATTACAGTTGTTGAAAGAGTTGATGTAATTTGTCTATAGAACTTGGAAATAATAATTGTGCTTATTTTAGACTGATGATGAGTCCTCCAGGGAAGAAAATCACTCTGGCTGCATAGTATCTTAAGCAAAATGTTTATTGTTTTGCTGTCTCTGTATATGTCCTCTGCTTCCTCAGCAAAGCACAATTCTCTTTTCCCTCTCCCTGAAGGCAGACATCTGTTCAGGAACTTTCAGGAAGAAAATGTGGGAACTAGTTCCAGGTCAGTTGTTTGAAAGCAGTAGCTCAGCTGAAGTAACTTGATAATGAGGAGGAGCCAGATGCCAGCTAGGAATTTGCAGACCTTGTTTTGACCTTCTCTTTCCTCGTGGATTTTGTGTGACTGGTCCAGTCAATTAAGACTTGGCTGTAAGGGCAGTTCATTCAGGGAGTATCCTCTGAGGACAGCTTTTTTGGAAGGCAAGTAGTGTTTCTAACTTGTCTTAGTGCTTTCAAAATAACACAGGCTAAAATGGGACAAAGGGCTCTTCTAGCACTGCAGGATCATGCAGCTGTGCTTCTGAGGGCAGTGGTAAGATTTGCTGCCAGGGTTAGTTCCCTTCTTTTCCTTCCTCTCCCCTTATTATTTGCTGATAAAATACTCTGTTTCTTTTATCCTGCAGCTCTGCAGATACTCCTGGTCTTCTGAAATTGATGTAACTGCAGTAACTGTTTTGCCCCTGCTCTTAGCATTCAAGTTTGACCTTCTCCATCCTTAACAGGATATTAAGTGCCATTGATTGTGAGATATTTGAAGGATTCCTTAGTAAATGCCTGTATTAACTAAAGACAACAATGAGCAAAATAATGTAGGTGAAGAGTCCCTTTCTAGTGTAATTAGTACCACGAGGAAGATGTGAATGAACTTAGCTAGTGAGAAGGTAACACTGGTGACAACGTACATAGTCCAAAATGTGTTTGTTTCATCCATGTCTGTGCACTTTTGCGTATCTGTGACTTAAATGCCTCGTGGCCTATGCCAGAGCTCTACACAGAGCATACCACACACTTTTCAACTCACAGCTTTATCTCAACTCTATTTTTGGACCACACTTACAAGATGCCTGTAAAGTTACACAGCTGAAAAGACGAGGATGCAAAGTGCTGGATCACAGAGACCTAACTCTTCTCCCTTTCCCATTTTTCCTTTTTCTTTCTCCCCTGCACATAATATTTTCCAGATCTTGGTTAGCGCTTAGTTGATACCAGGAATGCTACTTAAACTCTTCTGAGAAGAGACCTGTTGTTCTTTGTTTCTTTCCCACTCAGTGTGAAAGAGATAGCATCCCTTCTGATTTATACCCTGCCTTGTTTTCTATCAGCGTTACCTTTAGTTTGACAAAACACAGGAATGTCAGGCAGCTCAGAATCTGCGCTAGGAACTTCTTGAACGTACGCTATGGTAAGTAGTTAGGCTGTGTTTATGCTGGGATGTCCATGTCCTGAGAGCAGTACAAATTTGTGTTACTTTGGATGTCTGTTAGTCATTAATCTTTGTTCTGTTTGTTTACTACTAATTGTCTTGACAAAACTTGACAAACAAAATAGGAGCCTGCTTACCCTAAAAGTGTTGCCTGTAAAGCAGAACTTCAGAGGAGGCACTAAAGTGTGAGCAGAGGGGGCTTGGTGCATGTTTTTTTGTATTAATTCTGCCTCAGAGCATTTCAGATTTGCAGTGGGTGCAACGGCTGAAATAGATCACCCTGCACTAGCTAATTACTGCTGAAAAAAAGTGTAAGGATCTCTGCCATTGTTAGGGAACCTGGCTGTGATAGTCACTGATAACTTATCTTTTGAATGAGTCTGGGAATATGCTAGCATATTTGAGTCGTGGGCTTCCTGTTTTTTTTTTTAAGGGGAAGAGGAATGTATTGGTCTTATTCAGAGTGTTTCAAACTGCTTTAAACCATGTATGTGCCTTGGGGTTTCTTACAACCATGGAGTTGTATGAAATAGCATGGGAAGGAGCTACAATTCCTAATGGTTGGTGGTTGTTCTTTGGGGGCGCTATCACCGAAACCTCTTGGCTGAGGTGACACGCAGTATTGACTTCTTAAAACTAGTTGTTGTTCCTTTAAGTTAGAAGGAATCTTAGGATAGACTAAGAGGATACGGAGACTACAATCAATTTCATTATTATTAAAATACTGACAGCTGCAGTCAGATTGTGATCTGACAGCAGTGTCAGATTGTGATCTTACTATGTGTTTTACTTTGCACTCAATTTGCTAGTAAAAGAGGTAAGGTTTTTATGTCTGTTCTGAAGGAAGATGGACTGGCTTTGCTTTTAAAGCAGTATCATAAATGTTCCATGTTAAATCCTAATCCACTCTGTAATGGTGTTTAGAAAGACAGTGAAAGATGGTGTTTTGATGGTGGAGTTCCACAACCTTCTTTAATGCTCAGATTTCTCAGTTTGACGAAGTCTAACCACAATTATTTCTTCAGGATAACCTTTGAATGTTGTTAACTGACCTGTGTGAAAATTAGATGCTAAATCTGATTTCTGAGAACTTCCGTAGTACAGTGGATGAAAAAGCAAACATTAGATAACCTCCACTGCTTTTAATAATGAATGAGCGTAGAGTTTTGAGGACAAGTTGGAAAGAGCAGGTCTGAGGTGCCCAAGAACAGAAAAGCAGGGTAGCAGAAAGTAAGCAGGCTGGATTGTCAGGAAAACTCGAAGTTTTTTAAAAATTTCCAATCAATTAAAAGGAGATGAAGAGCAGAAAGAGGTGATGAGACATGTTGGGCATGGACCAAGTAAAAAGGATATGAAGGAAACTTGTTAAGGATTTTGTGGGAGATGAAGCCTGTGTGTGTGTTTAGGCATTAGCTACCTACCCTAATTGTTTGGTATCTCTTATTCATGGCATGGTGCAAAAACTTGAATATTTAGTGAATTAAGTAAAACTTTTGCAGAATACATTTTAAAAATTAAATAACTCACTGGTGCCGCAATTTTAAAATTAATCACTTGATGTGTCCATTTTTCTGCGGCACCATGTGAGCAGAATGGAAAAAAGCCTTCAAGAAAGATTGTAGCTGACTACAGAAACTTTATACAGATTATTTAACTTTGCTTTCTCCTCAATTCTTTTTTTTCCTGAAAGGCTTGTTTTCCTGGAACTTCTCTTGTAGTTCAACTGTCTCAGTAATTTTGGAGGTATTATGGCCACTTGGAAAGTGTACTGGCATCTTCCTTTTGCTGACAGCAAATGACTTCGGTTAAATATTTATTGCAGAATCACAGAATATGCCAAGTTGGAAGGGACCCACAAGGACCATCGAGTCCAGCTCCTGGCCCTGCATAGGACCATCCCCAAGAGTCACACCATGTGCTTGAGAGTATCATCCAAACACCTTTTGAACTCTGTCAGGCTCGGTACTGTGACCACTTCCCTGGGAAGCATGTTCCACATCCAGACACCCTCTGTGTGAAACACCTTTTGCTGATATCCAACCTAATCCTTCCCTGACACAGCTTCAGGCCATTCCCTTGGTTCTGTCAGTGGTCACCAGAGAGAGGAGATCAGTGTCTGCCCCTCCTCTTCCCCTCACAAGGAAGTTGTAGACTGCAGTGAGGTCTCCCCTCCATCTCATCCAGGCTGAACAGACCAAGTGACCTGAGCCTCTTCTCATACAGCTTCCCCTCAAGGCCCTTCACCATCTCCGTTACCCTCCTTTGGACATTCTCTTAAGAGCTTAATATCTTTCTTACATTGTGGTGCCCAAAACTGCACACAATATTCAAGGTGAGGCCGCAGCAGTGCAAAGAAGAGAAGGACAATCACCTCTCTTGACCGGCTGGTGATGCTTTGCCTGATGTCCCCCAGGACACAGTTGGCCCTCCTGGCTGCCAGGGCACTTCTGACATGCACTCAGCTACTTTGTTGCTAATGCCCCTTTAGTCAGAACCTCTTTTTATTGTGTCTTGCTGCATAAATAGGTATTTTCTGTCATTAAACACCATTCATATCAGTTTGTCCTACTCTTGAAATTGTAGAATGCTGTAACTAAGCCATACTTCCTTCTTGATATTTATAATTTTGCTTTCCCAATGAACTGCAAGTTTGTGCCAAAATTCTGCTGAAGAGTCTGAAAAAAAATCTGATTACAGGCTTGAGGAATGTGAGTTAGACAGACTTTTTTGAAGTATCTGATGCATCAGATCTGTGCCATAAGAACTCAACTCACTTTGATCAGTGAGGATTGTAAGCATTATCTGTTAGCCTTAAAAACAGTTTTGTATCCTAATTAAGGGAATATTTTACATTTCAGCCAGGCTTTGCAATCTGATTTGGAAAAGGCACTTGTGTGGATAGACAAGGAGGACTTATTGTTGTGATACATATGTTAAAAAAAACTGAAAACATCTTTAGCTGCCTTTCTTTGGACATCTTATGATTAAGAATAAAATCCAGAATTGAAGTGTAAACTGAAGCATAGCTGAAAGATGTCAGCAATCAAATTTAGCTCTGACATTTCAGTAATATTGTAATAAAGTATGCTTTTGATTTTACTCCATTCACTAAGTACCCAACCTTGTGATGTGTGCTTCTCAGCTGTCAGGCAGAAGTCAAAGGTGCTCACAGTCTGATGCTTCCTGCCCACAGAAGGGTAGAACTGGCTTTCTTGTAAAAGGACTCAAGACTGGCATAATTGTAAGCTAAGCTTGATCTTGACATGTGAATTATTACTTGATACAGTATGAAGAGTGGGAAAGATGTTTCAGATCCACATTTTCCTTTAAAAGTGGAGATAAAGTCATGTTAACTTTATCTGTTTCACAAATCACGTTGATGAAAGAGTACCTTAAATAAGGCATGGGTACCCGTAGTGTTGCAAGCACTGGTTGAAGGAGAACTGACGTGGTTCTTAAAGACAGTCTTTTCATTTGTTTGCCAAAATTTAAAGTCCGTGCTAAGATAGGCTGTGTCAGAACCATGTTTGAACCTGATCAGTGAAGTTAATCAGCAATGAGCAACTTGAGTTCCCTTCCTTGGTCATAAGTGCAACATTGGAAATTAACTGTTTTATGTTGTGTAATGAGTAATTGAACATTGTCTTCCTCCTTTTTTCCCCAGATAATTTCAGACCTTGAGTCTTGGAATGATGAACTCTCTCAGCAAATGAATGACTTCGACACTGAAGATCTTACAATAGCAGAACAGAGGCTCCAGCATCATGCAGACAAAGCCCTGACCATGAATAACTTGACCTTTGATGTCATCCACCAAGGGCAGGATCTGCTGCAGTATGTCAATGAAGTGCAGGCATCTGGTAAGATGGCTCCTTTGTGCTATTCCAGGCAGTGGCTTTACAAGAATTATCCAGTTGTCTCTCCATGGGATGTGTGAAAATAACAGAGATGCTGGTTAACTGTAAGCTGGAGACATGGGGGCTCCTTTATACTCAAATCATATGATAGTATTCATGAGAGCGTACTGTTATTATGGCACATAATTTTCTTCAAAGAACTGGCAACACCTGAAGATGTTTAGTTTTTCAAGAAAGGAATTTCACTCAGAAATTCGGTAAAATTAGAGTAAATAAGGGGGAGCAAGTTTTATAGTTAATCAGATCGATGTAGTCAAGGAAAAGTTTTCAGCTTTCAAGTAACATCTTCCTTTTTTGTTCCTTATACCCCTTCACTTGATCTTTTTCACTGTATACAGTATAGTCACTTAAATATCAGACATCAAAAAAGAATTTAATTTGCACTTTTTAAAAGTGCAAAAACCTATGCTCGTAATGCAAGTGCTCTGAGGATTAAACTGAACTTGGCAAAGAAACAAGAAAATTAAGTGTAAAACAATGGAAATGGGCTGTTTGTCTTCAGAAGCATTGTAAGTCATTCCTAAACGATTGGCTGATTGCAGGTGTCGAGCTGCTTTGCGACAGAGACGTAGACATGGCAACTCGCGTGCAGGACCTGCTGGAGTTCCTGCACGAGAAGCAGCAGGAGCTGGACGTGGCAGCCGAGCAGCACCGAAAGCACCTGGAGCAGTGCGTGCAGCTGCGCCACCTGCAGGCTGAGGTCAAGCAGGTACGGCCCACCCCCGTCGCACCCTTAGAGCCGCTCCACACCTCCTGGAGAGAGCTCTGTTCCCCTAAACAGATCTGGGAAATTTCTTCCAGCTGTATAACGTCTTTCACTGGGAGTGGGGAAGGACTTTGACCACCTAAGAAACTTCATCCTCCCTTAACATCAAGTGCATTTTTTTGTTAATTTGTATCACCCGTCCATATTGCTGCAAGGATCTAGAGTACAAGTCATATGAGGACCGGCTGAGGGAGCTGGACTTGTTTAGCCTGGAGAAAAGGAAGCTTAGGGTGAACTTTATTGCTGTCTGCAGCTGCTTGACAGGAGGTTGTATCAAAGTAGGGGTTGGGGGGTTTTTCCAGGGGTTTTTTTCCCATTTTTTTTTTCCCGAGTAGCAAATGATAGGACAAGAAAAGACCTCAAGTTGTGCCAGAAAAGGTTTAGGATAGATGTTGGGTATTTGAATGACATGTAGATGTGACACTGAGGCACATGGTTTAGTGGTGGACTTGACAGTGTAGGGTTAACAGCTGGACTTGATGATCTTTGAGATCCTTTCTGACCCAAAGTATTGTGTGATTCTATAAATACAAGTCAAGTATTTGAAGTGTAGGGTGATTTGAACTAATGTTAAACTCATACTTTTATCATCGGTATGATGATGAATGAAAATGCTCAGTTATAGTCCCTGCACACTGGCCTAATGCTTTTGGGTAAATTGTTTGAAGCATCTACCAATAGTGATAACATAATATCAACATGATTTATTTTCCATGAGAAGAAAAACAAGGTTTTGCTTTTCCTGGCAATAAAGGGGCAAGTTTTGAGGTCCTTATCTGATAAACAGCTAAACCTTTTGTGAATTTGAGATGCTGTGGGCAAAACCACTGAAGTAGGTGAAAGTTTAAAAAAACAAACAGAACACTAGAGAAGGTAAGAGTTTTTGGTCTTTCTTTCACTTGGCAGCATCACAGTCTGCTACAATCTGTTTTTTTACTGTGGTCCATAATGGCTGCCAGTGCAACTCGTCCTTTCTTTTGCTTGTCATGAGCTCTTAAAAAATTTATCTCCCTCACATGACTTTGAATGACAGCTCCCAACTTGCAAAGTAATATAGAAGGGATCCAGTTAGGATTAGAAGAGGTGAACAAGAGGCTCCCAAAATATGTCCAGGCAGTGGTTGGTTACTCTATAGCAGCAGATGCAAAGTCTCTGTGTGGTCTTGACTTAAAGGAATGCAAGAAAATGGTAGTTTCTCTGTTATGCCTGCAATACAGGCATCAATCAAAGACATGATGTTCTATTTCTAACCTTTGCATACTCTGCTGAACTGTCCTGTATCCATCTTAGCACTTCATAAATGCAAACTACAGATTACTCTTTTCATGGGAGTAATGGCTGAGATACAGTTCTTCTAGATCAGGATAGTTTCTATACTCAGTTGCATATTATCTTGAGGATGATAGGAAAGAGTGCACATCTGCAAAGAAAAGAAAAAAATGAAAAAAAAAAAAAAGTGAATGCCAGCTGAGGCAGTCGCATCCCTTTACGGTACATTAGTGGGTTAGGATGAGATGGGTTAGTAAAAAAGAAATTGTCAATTTCCATCATACTGAAATAACATTCAATGAAACAACAGAATATAGCCCTTTGGTAATGTTTCAAAGAGACACTATTTAAGTGGTTATGTCGCATGCTCAAACAATAAAGTGAGTGCATTGCTCCACTAGCTTTGTATGCAAGTTAAATGGGACAAGAAAGACACATGTGTTTAAATCCTGTGTTTGTGCAACAACTGTTCTGTATTTTGGCAGATACAGATAGATGATGAATATCACATTTGTAGAGGAATATCTATGTTGCACTTTGTATGTGATTTGTAGGCCCTTTGGTCAGTATTTCCTAACTTTTTGAACTATTGCTAGCCTTCACTGAAAACTGAAGCTCAAGTTTAGATTTTTAAGAAAGCACATGAAAAATAAATAAAAGTTGTACACTACTCTAGCTAGCCGGCTTTTCTTGATAGACTGGGATTTGGAAGAAAAAATGTATTCTGTTTTATATTCCTAGAACATACCTCTATCAAATGGGACTTTATGTTGAATTAAATGCTGTAGTAGGTGTGAATTTTCAAACAAATCTGCATAAATAAGTAGCTGACAGCATGTTTGTGTATTACTTTTCCAGATTTCTGTTGCACATATTAACCTGCAATACTTCCCCAGCCTGGGCCTAAAAATTGAACGGAACTAAAACTTAATATTAGTATATTGTCTCACAGGATTTCTTTTGATCCTCTTTGGAATGGCTTTGAGGCTAGTAACTCTTAGCTTTGTGATTTCAGTTGCATTTTCAGACAACCACATCTGATTTATTTTAGGTTTTATTCAGTATGAGAAAACATGATCTTCTACTGTCTCCTCTACACTGGGAAAAACTTTATAGCTCAACAGGTCACAGCAGGTGCTTTACCTGAGAGTAAAATGACGTGATGAACCTCCTCTTCAATCTGTTTTGTTTATATTTTGTTCCCTGAAGCAGTGAACACATTATTTTCCAGATCATTTACTCTGATTTTCTATCAGATTTATTGTCGATGAACTGGTTGTAAATGTACTTATTATGTAGATGGGATACTGTCTCCATAGCAAGAATTCAAACAACATTTTCGTTTGAATTTTTCCTGGCAAACTGACATTACTGCTATTGAATTTTCACTCGCCCATACGTATATGTCTATATAAAGTACATAAAAATATAGAGCTTGTAGTCATGCAAAGAGGTTAGACTGAAATACTGCAGGAATTTAGACAAACACTTGCAAAAATTCTCTTCAGTACTAGGTAGTGAAACTTGGAGCTTATGAATTCTTACCACATAAGCACAGAAAGCAGATAAAAGCATTCAGTATTTATTCTTTCTAAACTAGTGTACCAATACTTCTGCATTGAAGTTCTATAGATCAAGCCTCAGGACTAGGAGGAAACAGAAGGGCCAGAAGACAAACAGAGGTTTAAAGAAAACCTGCAGAAAATCTACTTGTCAATTTGATATGTTAGAGGTGCGGAAAGGGCAAGACCAGATAGACAATTGCAGTGTAGAAAAACCTTGGAAGATTGGGGGAAGAGGTTTCTGACTGAAATAGGAATTGACAGCTATATGTGGGGAAAAACAACATGGAAAGGAAAATGTGACCATTTTTTACAGGGCAGGGACATATGAATAGGTGGAGAAATATAATATCTGTCTCATCCACAGCTCCACTTGCATGTTTACCAGACAAAGCTTTTTTATTAATCACATAAAATACAGCTGTTGGATTACTTATTGCTATAATCACTCCTACATACTCACTTTGTAGAATGAATGTGTTACTCGGTTTAAGGTCAAAATCTCTACCAAGCTCCAGACCCAATCCAATTCGTTTTAGTATGCTCATTAAACCTTTTTAGTGCACTATTATCTGCTGTTTCAATCGTGGTGTATATTTTTGGGTATATAACTATGTATTCATGTCTGCACAACAGTGTACAGATACTTTTACAATCAAGAGTGCCTTGAGCTGGTTTGTTTTTCACAAGGAGATCTTTTAGCTTGGTGCTTGAGCTCTGATTATCCCAAAATACTACTCAGGAAGGGTGTCCTGGCACTCTGTGTAATGCCATATGGATGTGAAAGCATAGCTAGGACAGCAGACTGAAGCAGGTTGTCTCATGATCATGGTTAGTCAAAAATCAGTCCAAGAAACTAATCCTAAATCAGGCATTTATCTAATAGACCTGCCTATTTGACCCTTTCAAGTGTCCCAAATTCTGTTTCATTTCCACTGTTTTACTGATGCTGTACTGATGTTATTATAGCCTGCTGAAGGCTGCAAGGGGAAAGATAGGAGGGGTGGTCCACCCAGACAGTGAGGTGATGGGATCATGCCAACAAGCCTGGGAAGACAGCAGCCCCGAAAGAGGAACATGCTTGCTATTTACTTGATATTGCTATTCACTATTTACTTTATGTTTTCCCTTTGAGTCCAAGCAGAAGGCAGGGGACTGCTGGCAGAGTTCCTCCTTTTAGTTCCATCAGCTTCTGCATTTGCACCCTGACCTGCACCAAGCAGGAGGGCAAATCATTGTGTTTGAAATATTCTGTGCTAGTTGTCTCTGCTGTGTATGGTGGGGTACCAAGTCAAGAGGAGCTTTTGATTTGTGCCTTATAAGCATTCTCCTTCATTAAAATTCTCAAAGAAGGCTAAATCTATTAGAGTCCTAAGAAGGTGTGTTTTGTTACTTTATACCTGGAGGAATTATTTTGTAAGGTAGAGATGGAGCTTAGAACCACTACTACTAAGACAAAATAGAAATAAAGAAGGGATTTTAAAAAATCTGGGAGGTGCTGTCATGCCCTCCACTGCAGACTTACTCTTTTCTACAGACTTGCAGAATTAAAATATATGCTATCAGGGTGGAAAAAAACTTGTTAGCTATTTGTTGTGCAGACAAAAGTGAGAAAAACTGCATTAATAATACAACAATATTGCAGTCTGGATAAGTGCAAGACAGGGGGTGAGATTGTGATGCAGATTTGAGGCCATGGATGTTGTGTCAGGATGGCTAGACCTCAGTTGTTCAAGCTGTTAGACTAAATGTTAGAGTGTACTTTACAGGTGCCATATGGTTTTGAGGAACTGAGTTTTAACAGGTACTTTTGTCAGCTTCTGGTCTTGTTTTCAGTCTATGACTACAGTCATATCATTCTAATTACTTAGTAATAGTGTGGTACAGTAGCATTAATGATAGTGTCATGTGTGGATCACTAGATGAGACTATGTAGTGTTAAGACCTAACTGTGATTTTGTGGTTAAAATATTTATTACCAGTGGTTAAAGGTCTAAAATCAATTAGTAGGAAAGAGTTAAAGAAGATATGCTTAAACTGGGGATGTTCAAATCAATTGGGCCCAAAGGAATTCACCATAAAATACCCAGAAAACTGCCTGTTATAATGTCATATACAGTGCTTATTGTTTCCAAACATCAGGAGATTGGATGAGATTCTAGAGGCCTGGAACTCAACATCTACTGCTCAAAAATGGAAAAGGACTAGCTAAGGGAGGATTATAGCTCAGTTAGTTTAACATAATTCCAAGGAAAAATGTTGAAACAAGGAGATTAAACTTGAACAGTGACAAGGAGAGGAGAAAAGGCTAACATAGATTAATTAAGCATAGCTTCTCATTGAGAAATTGTGGTTTTTTTCTGACAAGGTAACAGCTTTTGTGAGGGGGGAGGAGCAGTATTAAAGCTTTTAAAATAGTTTAGCTCAGTCTGTCTTGCCCAAGCTTACTGTGAGAATGTCATATAAGACTACATTACCATGAATGATAGCTTGCTCAAAAACCATAACCAGTAACAAAAGTTATTAAGAGACTCAATGGATTGCAAAGCAAATTTTAAAAATAAAAACAAATTTAAAAAAAAATCATTAAATCTGTAGATGTCTGTATTTGGATATCACTAGTTCATGTTTCCAATCAGAAAATGTACATATTAGAGTAGAAATTATGCTTTTAAATTTGAAGTTAAAGGCAAAAGAAACTGGAACAGGGATTTGAGTTTAGCAGAAGACACTGGATTGTGGTTCAGAATTATCTTGATGTATGGGAGAATTGGGCTATAACGCGTGAAAAATACAGAGTATGATGTACTGGCAAGAATAATCAACTGAATAAATACAGGTGTGATTACTGGCTGGGCAGCAGTTCCATAGAAGAGTTGTACAGAAGACAGTCAATAACCTGAATTATGTCCAGTTTTACTGAGTATTTGAAAACTTATGAAGTCATGGTTATCAACTGGAGAGAGCTCATGAAAGAGCAGTGAGAAAAATAAGGCAACTAACTTCACATAGGAAAGATTGAAGAGACTGTTGTCAGCAAGAGATATCTGAGGGAGGAACACAAGTTTTCCCCCTCCATCTCTTGATGGAGAGAGGAGAGGAAAAAACAAAGCTGATGCAAAGAGGGAGAAAATGCCTCTTTTTCTCCCCCACCCCCCCCCCAATTGTGGGCAGGAGAAATGAAATCCAAAATTAGAGCAAGAGAGATTTGAGTGTAAGCCCTTAGAAAGACTAAGGGTGATAAAACTGTCTAGTGAAAGTGTGAGATTGGAGTCTTGAGTAACAAACAAGGTAGAGATCTTTTGGGAGGGATCTTAAGGTTGCATGTTCCTGCTATTGATAAAGAGTGTACAGAGTGGTCTCCTGAGACTTCAGCCCACCAGGGGATTTTTCCAGTTTCACTGAACATGTCAAAGAAGATACATTCTGAAAACTAAAAATCTTCAAGCGGTTACAAGACACTTAATGGTCACATTTTTCTCAACATTAATATTCAAAATTATTTGCTTACTTTTTGCTAAGCTCTATGTCCTCAATTTACATTACTGGCACTGGCTTTTAGGCAAATATTGCTTGTAACTTTTTCCAGTTTTTCAGGTGAGAGAAGTAGTATTCCGAAACACAACCTTGTTCAGAGTATGAACTGAAACCATGAGCACAAAGTAGTTGACTGAAAGCTGCGAGTTGATAGCTCAGTGACATTATTAAAATGTCAGCCACTGTGCTGACTCAATATATAATTCACTGTAATATATAATTAATAAATGATTTCATTAGAGATTCCAGTACTAATGTGACCATAAATGTTTTTATCCCTACAATGATGCTTTTTTGCTGGGTGGCAGTGGAATTGCATACTTCATGGTCTTCTCTTTTGTTACAGGTTTTGGGCTGGATCCGAAATGGAGAGTCAATGTTAAATGCTGGGCTTATCACTGCTAGTTCTTTGCAAGAGGCAGAACAGTTACAGAGGGAGCATGAGCAGTTTCAACATGCAATAGAGGTAAAAACACATTTTAGTGACCACAGTCAAGACGTCTTGTATTACAGTTTATCAGTCTCTCTAAATAGCACTTTTGGGTTTATGCTACAATGTTTTTAGTTTAGGAAAAGCTGTTGAACTAATCTTATGGCAGAGAGATAAAAACACTTACTGGGAATGTGGGTTTTTTTGTTCTTGCTCATTTTGAAGCTGCAGTTCCAGGTGAACATCTTTGCAGTTCCTTTTTGCATCTTTGTAAACCGATAGCTGTTCACAGTAATTTTACTGTAAATGGTGTTTTCCTTTGTTAGAATGTAACATCTAATGCTAATTGTAAAAGTTAAGAATAAATGGAACAGCAAGCATCAATTTTGTGTATTCTGATGTGATCCTTTAATGTTTCCATTTTTGTTTGAGAGTAGGTTTCACTGAGATTTGTGTGGTGATGTGTCAATTCCCCTGCCATGACTTCAAACTAAGCTTATCGGATTGGTCTATTGCTGCAAAACAATAGGCAGAGTTCTTAAGACTGACTGAAATGCAGTATTATTAATTTATATGCAGTACTGAGGGGCTTACAGTGATATTGAATATATATAACATTTATTTTTAAAGAACTAACATTGAAATATTAACAGTGTTATGATTGTTTGGGTAGACTATTTTCAGAAGTATTCTTTCTTGCATTACCTCTTTCATGTTTGTTTCCTATTTCGTAGAGTTTTATGCTTCCCTTCTTGAATTTATTTTTTTTTTTTACAGTTTGCAGTATATGCACCCTCATTTTGAGAGCTTTGGTAACTCCTAAGTGTAAAAATCATGAGACGTCTAGGTGTTTGTCAATTTAAAAATAAATTACTGGGAAGCTTAAAATCTGTGGGGTTTGGGTCATTCTTTACTCAGATATAATAATACTTAGTAGTTAACCCCTAATGTTTTTTCATTACTTGATTTTAAGCAAGTATATGTTTACACAGAGAAATACAGTTAAAAAGGAATTTGCTTACAATTAATAGAGAGTTGTCTTTATTTACTGACCTTCATGCCTGCACCTTTCTTTGTTCACTATTGATGTGCAAAAGACCTGGAGTTAATGCTGTAAGGGCAGGAATAGCAATCAAGCAAAAATAAGATACATCCTTTTCATCTTCTTTTTTTTTTCCACAGAGAAGGGAAAGAAAATCAACCTGAAATTCATAATTTTAACAGTGTGTACCACAGCATAGACACGTCACATGTGGCTTAATGCTAGATGGTGACAATTTGTTATGAACTGCTCTTTAGTGTTGATTTGATGATAAATCTCTACAGGACTTGCTTACTTTGTATTTGCATAGAGAAGTCACACAGTGACTAATATTAGACAGTTATTTTTAGTTGATGGGTGTTTGTGCATGTATAGAAGTGTCATTGACACAAGTGGAAATGTGACCCTTTGAGGTCTTCAAGCAAATGAACTCAAGTGCTCCACTGAACTCCTGAATTTTCACCTCTTGTCAGAAAACACATCAAAGTGCCCTGCAGGTTCAGCAGAAGGCAGAGGCAATGCTGCAGGCTAATCACTATGATATGGATATGATCCGGGAGTGTGCAGAGAAGGTTGCTTCCCACTGGCAACAGCTGATGCTGAAGATGGAGGACCGTCTCAAGCTTGTGAATGCCTCTGTTGCCTTCTATAAAACTTCTGAACAGGTACAGAAATGCTACATGACCTGTGTCTGCTTTGGTTGATTCCTCATTGTGGCATAAAACAGCATTACCTTAAAAAATTATTGCCTCAGTTTGGTTATATGTGCTCATTTGATAACAGTTGTGGTTATACAAAAAAGCAAATCCTCTCACCAGCTGCCTTAGAATGAGAAACCTTGTGTTGCAACCTTTCAATAAATTAAGGGGTCTTATAAAGCAACAGCTTTTTAGCAGGCCTGTAGTGACATGACAAGGAACAGTGGTTTCAAATTTCTCATATTCTTACTTTTTTATTGAGAAAAGTCTTGTAGAATATTTTCAAGATAAGGCACACTGTACAAGTTGTGTTGTTGGATTTTTGCTTGTTTCAAGAAGTTTTGCTTAAACCATAAGTTACACATAGGTTTTAATAGAAGTGCTTCAAATGACTAATTCTGTTTTTATTTGAGAGAGTCAGTGAAAAATCCGCTTCATCCTACTTGTCCACAGAAAAGTTTGGGGGAAGGTTGGCAAGGTTGCTTCCTGTGCAGTCATAACTTTAGCCCATCCTGTATTATGCAACCGCAGAGGCAGAGAAAACGAACAACTTTAGGGATGGCCTCTGAGCAATTCCACATAAGCAGGCCAGTGCTTGCAAACCTACTTCTCTTATGTCCCAGGCAAAATGTGTCAGAAGCTGAGGTATATGTAAGAGCTAGATTGGTTTTCCTTTTTTTTAGGCTTGAATTTTGATTTTTTTTCTTTTATTGAATTGTATTTGAGTTGGTCTCCTTTATCCTGATAGGTGTGCAGCGTACTGGAAAGCCTGGAGCAAGAATATAAGCGAGAAGAGGATTGGTGTGGGGGAGCAGACAAACTGGGTCCCAACTCTGAAACAGATCATGTTACTCCCATGATCAGCAAACACCTGGAACAGAAGGAGGCATTCCTAAAGGTAAGTTTGACGATGTTTTATAGTCTTCTGTGTCTTGGAAAGCATACAGGCAAACGTTCTCTCTTACAGTTCTGAAATCGCTGTGGAAAGCAACAGTGCCCGTTCACTCTACAAACTGCAGAGCTGTTGGAAGTAACATGTTAACTGCTTGTGACATCATTGATTAGGAGAATACTTCCAAGTGCATACAACTGTAGCCAGTTTTATAAATATATTTCCTGTTGAACTTCAGTAGATTTCAGGTCTCCCAGTATGATGGAGGAGGAGCTGGAAATCACTGCTTTGAGCAACTGTCATTCTAAAGAATGCTTAAAGGCTGCTGCTTTGGAAGAGGAACTGACAGTCACATAGTGCCATTGCTGCCTATGCATCAGAGCAACTCTCTGATGTACTTGGATTACAGTGGAGTACAGGACAAGGAAATTGGTAGACAAACATCTGGGAGTAGTTGGGTTTGTGTATCAGTCTTCAAAAAAACAAATGAAGATTTTTGTTCCAACGAATGTCCTAGTGAAGAAGGTTATTGATCATACTGAATTAAAGGTGTAATGGATGTTTGCAGAGCAGTGTAACTAACTCTGTAATCAAAGCCATTTCCAGCATCACTATGAAAGACTAAGAGCATAAAACTTTTTTGTTAAAACCTTATTGTTCTCAGTGCACAGACTACAACACTCAAAAACATATTAGTGTAGCTCAAAGTATACTGACAAATAGATCCTTTTGCAGCTGGCATTCCACATTCTGCGTATTAGGAACAAGGCAACCAGCCCATATATAGTGCTTGGTATGTGTTAAAATGAAGAAGACAGCTGAGCTGAGTGCTGGCATTCCAGTGGCAAGGTTTGAAAGCTCTCAAGGCCTTAATATTTTGAGGACATATCTTACTATTTCAGCACTTTTGGTTTCACTTTAGCGGAGCATTTACTTTTTGTTTAAAGTACTAATGGATGTTCTGGAATATCCAAGTGAGTACATAAGCAGGTGCACTCTGTTTACACAGTAAACACTTTAGGTGGCACATGGCATATACACTAAATAAACTTCTCTGTGAGCTCTGAGTCGCACTAAAAGCCTCCAGAGCAGATAATTCCTTTTCAGGATCTTCAGATGAAAAGGAATAGCATTCTATTTGGGTTTGTTTGTCTGTTTTGTTTTGTTTTACCTGCTGGGTAAGAAAGGTTTAACTGCTATTTGGTGGAAAAACTATTTTAATATTTGGATTGGTTTGGCTTGCTTGTAGAAAAATTTAACAACCAATATTTTCCCAAACTGGAGAGGGTAGGAAATATTCCAAAAGGTTCGAGAAGAACATCCTAAATCTCTTTCTGGATGTGTATTTGTGTACCTTCAAATAAAGTAATACTTCTGACTCTCCAGGCTTGCACGCTGGCTCGAAGGAATGCTGATGTCTTCCTGAAATACCTGCACAGGAACAGCGTCAACATGCCAGGGATGGTGACACACATCAAAGCACCTGAACAACAAGTGAAAAGTAAGAGGTTTCTTGTTCTTTTTATAAAAACACAAAAATATGATCATTATATGCTGTGGTGTGTATGGTGATGAGGCAGTGAAGCTTGCCCATTTGGAAAGAGTTCTTTCAGGCTTAATAGTAAACAATTAAAATTGCTCACACACTTAGAAGGATCTGCCAGTCATCAAAGTCTCTTATACTCAAGTGAAGTTGCTTCGAATTTATTTATCTGCTGCTTACACCTAATCTTCTTTCAGTTTGAGACTCAAATGTGCTGTTTTTATTGAGACAACGAGATAGTAAACTTCCATATGATAGTATTTTGTCTGAAGCCAGATAGGAACTGATCACTGTAAGTTTACTCAGCGTGGTAGCGTTGTGCAATCTGCAAGTTCATTGGGAGTGCCAGTGTGATACAAGGTAATCCCTTGATCTGTGCCCTCGGGCCCTTCATATACTTTGAATCAGTATTGGGAAACTTTATGAAGTATTGGGTAACTGACATCAAATTTAAATTAGTTGGGTAGATATGTAGTAGCTGAGGTGAAGCAGGGAAGAGCTACTATATGAGGCTTGGCTTTTGCTGAGATTAATAATATGTTGTGCAACTGTAAGGTATAATATGCATTCTAGGGAATCAAGAGAGAGAGATCTGTAGGGCTTTCAGGGAAGAAAGAGCAAAAATTAATAGGTATGTGTAACTGATGTGTGAGGTAGGCAGAACAGAAATCAGAGAGATTCAGAAGTAAATACTGCATTTTACAAATTTATTTGCAAGGTGTATTTCGCTCTATGCATTTTGAAGCTGTGACTGAACACTCTGGCTGTGCTACAGACTCAAAACCAGAGAAGTTTAATTGTCTAATTAATTGCTGTTTACAGCTACCCAAAGGAGAGTTATGCATATGATGGAGCCAAACTCAAGAGGAATACAGCAGTAGGTCTAGAGGAAAAGTCGCAGCAAGGAAAATTCTGTAATGGGAGAAAGTGTTACAGCAACATGGAGTAGAGCAGGTAGCCTAGAGAGGTATTAGAATCTTTGCCCTCAAGAATTTTTAAAACTTAGTTGAACAAGCCCCTGAGAAACTTTGAAGTTAGTCCTGCTTTGAAGAGGAGATTGAAACAGATGGCCTCCAGAGGTCACTTCCGCTCTAATTTACTTGATGACTCTATTAGAAAGGGACATGCTCCCTGCTTCGCTTTACTGCAGCGGGAGTAGTTTGTGTTAAACTTACCCGTATATCTGACAGTGTTCAACTTGAAGGTCTTCCTGTGTTGAATTTTTGTGTTGGAAAGATAATAGAGTATTGGTCATACTTTTCACTCTTAAGGAAATAGTTGGATTGTGGCAGTTGAAACTTTGAGCATTTAAAGCTAAGACAAAGGATTGTTTTTCCACTGTCGCCAAGATATCAACATTTATACAACTGTGCAAGACAAAATCTCAACGTAACTGCCAGCACTATCAATAACTGAAGAAGTGTTGCTGACATTTCTCACATTTGACTTTGTCTCAGTAGTAGACAATGAAAACAAAGCAGAAGCAAGCAGGAAGTTGTAGCTACTGCACTTAGTGAATACTAGGCAAACTTCTTAAAAATGCAGTTTGGAAATCTGTGTAGAAACAGTCATTCTGAGAAAGGTAAAATGTGTTCAGATGAGGAAAGAGTAGAAAGGTCTCCTCTAATATCCTTAAGAATAATAGTTATACGTCAGAACCATAGTGCTATGCATGTTCTGTGTGCATGTAAAATTCTGGATGTTTCTACATGTTTAAACAGCAGCAAAAAAAACAACAAAAATCCCCAAGCAGAAGAAATAAGCTATGTGCTCTAACACTTTTTTCCCCTATAGGCTATGTAATATATGCTACTGAGAATTAAACATTAGTCAAGATAGAACTAGTGAGGACTCCTTCCTATTAGTTCTCAATGGTATGGCAGTAGCTGACCAAATGATTTAAAAGTAAATTCTGTTCTTCATGTTCAAGTATGCATGTAAGGAAAAAAAAAACCTCTTTCCGTCTCTTTTTATAAATGGAGAAAAAAACAGAGTGTTTGTTTTATTTTATTTTGGTGAAATAGAGATTAAATGCATTTTACTAGAGCATTACACACTCATACTCAGGTATATGCCTGAAACTGGCAGACTGCACTCTATATAGTATATAAACTAACGCTTTAAAAATCTGAGTGACCCTTGAGTTTGGGTTCTTGCAGAACTGCTGAACATTTTTCAAAAACCTCATTCAGTGGCATACTTGATCCTTATGCCCAGCTGCAGATACCTAGAAAAGTAATGTCTTAATCTAGGCAAAGTTTAGCTAAGAACATGCTTCATGGGAAGCGGGAATTGCAGTGGTACTGAACTTTGAGAGGTGTCCCTCTGTCCTGGCATACTAGTGTAAATTATTTCTTTGATGTGCATTTCAGAGTATCCAAATACTCTCTTTATTTAGGAAAGAGTTGTGGCCTAAAACTGTGCTGTGGCAGGTGGATTCAGTTGGTGACAATTCCTGTAAGCTCAGAAATGGGACATCTTCATCTTTGTTTCTGCTGCTAAGTTTGTGTGCTTCTCTGTTACCCGTTTCTGCTGTACAGGCTGCAACTGAACACAAAACAGGAACTTGTCTAATGATGCTTGTAGATTTAGATAGGTTGATAGAGGGTACAGGATGCAGAGACAGCTGAGAGCTCTTTGAGCCTGGAAGTTTAGGAAACAATCCTAACAAATGCTGGAATCAAAAGAAAATAACAAGAAGGACTGTAGTTCAGATGGCCTGAGATAGAGATGTTTTTCCAAACCTAGTCTTAAATATTGATGTTCTATAACTTTCTTGGAGTGTTTTATACAATGTTTTTTCTCTTCCTTGTCAGTCCAAGAAATTAATGGCACGAACACTAACAGTGCCCAGCCAAATATCTCTCACTGCCTTGCCATCTGTATCATGTCCTGGCAGAACAAATGCTGCTCCAGTTTGCTAGATTCACCTTGCTTGCTCTTTGTCAGAACTACTTTGCTTGCGTCACTATCAAGATGTCTTTTTATATGTTGTGTCCACTGGGTGTGTTGCATTGTATAATGATGATTGTGTCCCACCCACCATTCCCCACCTCCCTGCCTCCCTAAGTCTGGATATATTCTGAGCAGGCATTTTGGAGGTGACATAAGGCAGAAATAAAACCGAGAAAGCAGGAGAGGCTCATAGCAAATCAGCTCATAGCTTGGCTAAGGGACAGATCAGTTGAGGCATATTTGAGGGGAGCCTGACCAGCAGAAAGAAAACCTTGGCTGCAGTGACCAGATTCCAACCCAAAGCAAGTCCTGGGTGATCTCAGCACCCTGTGGCAAGTGGGAATACTTGCTTCCAAGTAGGAGGATGTTGGCAGTGATGCAGACAGGTTTCATAATCCTCAGAGAGGCTGTCACAAGTGATTGTGTTTGGTCCCAGATCACTGATGAGGTAGACAAAGATGCTTTTTCCCCTCCATCTTCCTGTTATTTGAGCTTCTCTGTCAAACTATATTTTGGAGTTGTTAGCTTTTGAAATGTGAAGTATGGTGGACCTGTACGGTGGGGGAGCAGAATGCAGGGACCTTAAGGCACTTAGCACCTGTTATCCTCCATTTGTAATTGTGGATCATGGCAAATAGCTAGCTGTAGGTATAAAAGAAAATCAAGTAAAGCTTTAGTGTGAAGAATGAGCCCTTTTTGTGATCTCTTCTGCTAGACCTCTCCTTTGGCTCTGTGCACGTCTGACAGAATCACCTGGTGGAGACATTGGGTGTCCCCATTTCCCTCTGACTCAGATTGCCATCTGATTTTGCAGTAGCTACAAAGTCAAGTAGGGCTGCTTTTCTAGAAGCAACTGTAGTGGACTGATTACAAGATGGAGTCTGCTTTGCCATTGTCTTGAGCATGGAGTTTAAAAGCCTTGATGCCATAGCTAGGCTGCTGCAGAAGCCGAGCTCTAGGAGGCACCTAGCAAGCCAACAGAGGCAGGTAAAGGAGCAAGAAAGATAAAGAGCTGTTACAATCAAAAAACGCAGGAAGGACTTACTCTCCCAAATAAGGTATGCCAGGCAGATCTTGCTTGGAGACTGGGGAACCGGCCAGTGGACACTCAGGGCCCATCTTGGTACCAGGCAACCTTTGCTGGTGAAGTGGCTAAGGGGCCTCCAGGGACTACCACAGGATTTAGATCTGTGCCCCGGGGACTGCTGGGGGGCTGTTTGAGGACTGCTTCAGGATATGCTGCCACTCTGTTACCCTGCTGCTTTGGCTAGTTCCTCGGAGGATACAAGGCGACCAGGGAAGAAGCCCAGCAGAGATCTAGTAGCTTGCAAGCCAGCAGCACTTCATGGTGGTGGTAACTCCTGTCCTGTGCTTTTAACAGTTACCCGTAGCTTTTCCCACTCTTCTATCTTCCTTTTTCCTCTCTGCTCTTTAGTGTTACGAAATAAAGTTGAATTACCATTTTGGGATCTGGCATCTGGCCTCGTTTTTGTCTTAGTCTCGCTTATGGGAATATTTTTAGACCCTGGTTCCCCTCTGCATCTAAGCAGATGGGAACTACAGCAGAGGGTAAAGTTAGCTTCACAAGAAACTTCTAGAATTTCTTTGTTTGGTGATAAAAACCATAAGCATTAAAGAAGCAGAGTTCTTTTGCTAGGAACAATTTAAAAGTTGGACATATGGAATTGCATGATAATAGTGGGCTTTGGATGTGAATTCTCAATGGCAGGCAATTTCTAATACTCAGGAATGGAAAAACAAATTGTAGAGTTAATTATTTGATTACCTGGAAATTCTTTCAAGGCTCAGTGAACATTCATATTTGAACAAGTCAGCTTACTCAATTATACTGTGTGGATTTTGATTTTTTTTTTTTTTTTGGTAATAGAGAATCATGAACTTAGTAATTGTCTATTTTTATTACTTGAGTTTCTGTACATATATTGTCTGCTTATGCTGCATTTGATCTTGTAGTGACTTAAGGTTGTGTATCTGTTCATTTGTATTAAATCATTAAAATACTACTTTATAGGAAACTGATATAATAAGAAAATATTTTTTAATTTCAATTAATATGAGATGTTAAGCATGTAGGGATTACTTGTGTGTGCTTGTTCTCTCTGAGGTTCCATTCAGGAACCATCTTTATCAGCCTACATTTTCAATTCTGCCATAAGCAGCGACAGTCCCTTCATGAAAAATATTTGAGAGAAAAAAGGGTGTCAGTAGTAAGTTTTAGTTGCACCTCTAGTTTCTTTAACGAGCATTTCTGTAAGTAATGAAAAAGCAACACTGTGTTTCATGAATATCAGGGAAAAACTAAACAACAAATAACATTAAGAGCAAGTGTATAGTAAATTCTACAGTATAAAGTACTTTATTGTCCTGATTTTAATGTGGTATTTCAATTTTGGTTGTAATAACCTCTGTTGAAACTATTTGGATTTCTTCAGATATCTTGAATGAGCTGTTCCAGAGGGAGAACCGTGTGCTGCATTATTGGACCATGCGTAAAAGACGTCTTGATCAGTGCCAACAATATGTAGTGTTTGAAAGAAGTGCCAAACAGGTGAGGGTTTTATCTAAAAATCTTCTTTGGTGTGATCGAGGGTTGTCATACATTGTTTTGTCTCACAGTAAAAAATTTGTCATTGACTTCAGTATTTCAAATGACTGAAAGATCAATAGTTAAAATAGAAAGGTAAATTATTTGTCTTTAACACAGAAAACTAAATTTGTTGAAGCAGGGTGTCTGTACTGCTGTAACTTAAAGGTGGTGTTTTGCTTTTGCCAGCTTCATCTGGTACTGGCAAATCTCATTTCTGCAAGCTTGTGTTGGACAAATTGTTATGCTTGTTAACTTTTACACACACACCTAATTTGTCTGGGGAAAATAACTAGCAGCAGCGTTTTTCTCAGACGTTGCGGAAAAAATATCTAATTAAGTTGATTGACAGTTCTAGAAATCTGACAAGTTGGATAACTCATTAAACAGTAATAACTGAATTACTTTGGTTTTTCAATTCTGTGTGTATTTGGTTCCATGGTGTCTTGCACGGTAGATCCACCTCTTTGTATTTTGTTGAGTTTACCGGTCTGGAAAGAACTATAAAGTAACTACCACACACACACACAAAAATCTCCTTTACTAATCAAAACACATGCCATAAAAATAAGTAGGGGAGTTCAAGGCAGAAAGAGTAACTTAAATGATCTGCGATGGTCTCTTATCACTTTTTTTTTTTTTAAATGGGGTATAGGACAAAAAAAGGAAACTATCTGTTCTTGTTCTGCAGAAACAGACACAACGCCCATAGTGTGAAGTATAGTTAGAGCTACTTTAAAGGACTAAAAAAACTAATTTTTTATTTCTTTCTGACAGCCAATTTAGACAAAAATTTAAATACTCGTGGTCTGGTTTGCTCTCTTGAAAGAATTCTCCAGTCTGTCTTTCATGTTTTCACAAAAAAATTAATGCAAGATAAATCTTGGAGTGAATTTGAAGATTGATACCTCTTTAAAACAACAACACCACCTCTTCCCTACCCCCTACCCCACTTTTGAATAACCTTAATTTCAGCCTCTGCCAAGCACATGATCTACTTGCTTTTGTGTAGAGATTACTGACTAACAGTCAAACACTGGAAATAAAGATCTGTCAGCATTTTCACTGTAAATCCCATTTTTCAGGAATCACCAGTTCAGTCACTGAAAAGCAAAGCGAACCAAACCATATATGGGACGCCACGCTGATTAGCTAAAAAAAATGGGAATGTTGGTGTGTTCATTTAGATTACTGTTTGGAAGATGGAAAAAAACCCATTCTTTGTGCTTTCAGAACTTGATACCCTTGCGTTGGAAACAGATACTATAGTAGTCTGCAAGGACAGTGGTAGATTCTCAAATCTTTCTGGAGTTAAGGGCCTATCTGATCCCTTACTTGATTTCCCTACTTCCTGTAGTGATACCTCACATGAAATGAGAGCGGATCGAAACTGTAGGAATTAACATCAAGATGAACTTTGTTATATTGTGCCTCTAGAAAGCTGCCAACAAGTTATGACACAATAACATTTCATTCTCATGGTGCGTGTATTGGAACTAATTGATCTTTAAGGTCTCTTCCAATCCAAACCATTCTATGATGTGGGAAGGTTTTATTTATCATTGATTCCAGCATTGTGTAATAAACACACTGAAAAAAGGGAGAGGTAAAAAAGTTAAAAACAAGTATCAAATATTGTTAGTAATATCAGCAAGTAGCCATGCTGCCTGTCCATATCAGTCTTCATTTGCAAAGATTGACATTAGAATGACAAGGGGTGTCATAGAGATAGTTGAAATGTTGCTTTTTCTAACAGAAGTCCAAGAGTTGTTGGTTTGTTTCCATCAGTAAATTTTTAAAGTACAGGCCCTTCTCATCAGGCTTGCATCTGTACTAGTATGTGATTAGGTAAATGGCATCCTAGTGTTCACATGCAGTGTTGGATTTTGAAGTCTTCCTACTCACTTTAGTTTTTGCACCAAGAGGCAAAAGCATCCTAAGTGGAAGTAAGGGAATCAAAGTTGTTCCGTCACAGCTTTGATGAGCTTATAATACAGACAATGCCTTTTCTGATTCAGTGTAAGGTTATGCTCTTGAAAAATACATATTTACTGTCCACCAAGATAAAACTTTTTCTTTTCTTCATAATGTGGATAGATTCACTCTCATAATTTCAGTTTAACCTTTTAAGGAAGGAGCAAGGACCCATTAGCAATCTACTCCTTTTTCTCTTGGGGTAATAAATTTTTGTCTAGTGCTGTATGTATTTACTGAAAACACAGAAGATATACATGCATTTAGTAATAAGATGGTTCTAAGCAAGCTGTATTAAACTCTTTGAACATCTGATATTGGCTTTGTCAGAAACAAGAAGTTTTTAAGTTCACATACTTCTGCGTACTGCTGTAGATGTCCTGCATTTAGAGCTACAGTCTTCAGGTGGATTTTTACTGTTATGCAGCAGTTTGAGATGACTCTTGTTTTTCTGGGAGCCAGAAATTCCTTTGGACCAATGAGTTATGCTTAAAAGGGCAGCAGATATTAATGGAGGTAGAACACAGATAATAACATGGATCAGCATTTTTCATAATAGTGAGCAAATAAGGTGTCAGGATGTGGAAAAGAAACAATTTTAGTTTGCAGTTCTTAGTTCTTGTCTTTTTCTGCCTATACATACATGAATTGTTTTAACTGATACATCTCACCATTCCTTCTCTGCCGTAGGTTGAATTTCTAGGAGCACAGGTTGTACTTTGTGAGGCTGGAATATGTCAGAGAAAGAGTGAAGTGATAGTTACATCTTATGTGCTTGGAAAGTTTAGCCTACGCATTTGGTGGGTTTATGTACATTTTTACAAGTTGGAAAATGTATATTTCTGAGTACAGCTGTCCTGTGTGGCACTGAAAAAGTGTTTGTTTTGTTCTCGGTTGGGGAGTATACTACCAGAACTGTAAACACAATCAGTTAGAGCCTTTTAATAGTGGACTGCTGTAGTCCTGTAGTAGTGGACTTCCCTGGAGTATTAAGATTGATATGTAATTTTTAGTTCTTTAAGCATTGCTTCATAGACTGAGTGAATTATTTAGGATTTATGAACTGTTTGATATTGTAGGTGATTGCCACAAGTGACATAGAATAAAATTACCTGTGGCCAATCTGTGTTTGTGAAATACTGATTACAGATGGTCTCTGATGGCAAAAATATATTGCCTTTTCTCTTACTTTTCCTTCATTATTGCTTTATTTAGGCTCTGGAATGGATTCATGACAATGGAGAGTTTTATTTATCCACACATACTTCCACTGGTTCCAGTATCCAGCACACTCAAGAGTTGTTAAAAGAGCATGAAGAATTTCAGATCACAGCAAAGGTAAAATAAATAAAATATCACAGCATCACAGAATAGTTAGAGTTGGAAGGAACCTCTGGAGATCATCTAGTCCAACCCGCCTGCCAAGGCAGGGTCTCCTAGAGCAGGTTACACACAAATGCATCCAGGAGGGTTTGGAATGCCTCCAGAGAGGAAGACTCCAAAACCTCCCTGGGCAGCCTGTTCCAGTGCTCTGCCACCCCCAGTGTAAAGAAGTTCTTCCTCACCTTAAAGTGGAACTTCTTGTGGTTTAGTTTATGGCTATTGCTCCTTGTGCTGTCTCTGGGCATCACTGAAGAGTGGGGCACCATCCTCTCAACACCTGCCTTTGAGATACTTACACACATTAATGAGATCCCCTCTCAATCCTCTGTTCTCCAGACTAAACAGGCCCAGCTACCGCAGTCTCTCCTCATAAGAGAGATGCTTCAGACCCCTCGTCATCTTTGTGGTCTCCACTGAATCCTCTCCAGTTGTTCCTTGTCTTTCCTGAACTATGGAGGCCAGAATTGAACATACTCCAGAAGCAGCTTCAGCTACATGAGGGCTAAGTAGAGGGGGAGGATCACCTCTCTCCCTCTGCTGGCCACACTTCCTGATGCACCCCACAATACCATTGACCCTCTGGCTGGAAAGGCACACTGTTGACTCATGGTCAACTTGTTATCCACCAAGACTTCCAGGTTCTTCTCAGCAGAGCTGCTCTCTAGTAGGTCAGCCCACAACCTGTACTGGTACCTGGGGTTATTCTTCCACAGAAGCAGGGCCCTGCACTTCCCTTCATTGAACTGCATTAGATTTCTCTCTGCCCAGCTCTCCAGCCTATCAAGGTCCTGCTGAATGGCAGCACAGCCGTCAGATGTATCACTTACTCCCCCCCAGTTTCCTGTCATCAGCAAACTGGCTTAGGGTGCATTCTATCCGTTTGTCCAAGTTGTTGATACGCAAGTTGAATACAAGTTGAATTATGCACAATTTGAAACAAAATAAAACAACTGAACTTCCCCCTGCGCCTCAAAAAATCCCCCAAAGATGTGTCCTGAGATCTGTTTACTTGCATTGGCTCTCTCTTTGTATTTCTACTGGGACTAGAATAAACCAGAAGAAAACTGGCAGATAATCATTGTTATTACTGGAGCTCCATGAGCCCTATGTGCTGTTGATTTCTCATGACAGAATCGTAGTGAGATAGCTTAAAAATGTTTTCAATACCTACAAACCTTGCAGGGCCTTTGATTTCCTCTTTCATATCCTCATGACTGTGGACTCCTGGATGTTTTTTTAGGATACAAAATACAAAAAGGCGTATTATTATTCAGCTATGATTTAATTAGAAGATAGTAGAAGAATTAAAGCTTTTTTTGTTAGGTAACTCGTTAAAGTATTCTGTGATTCTGCTGTAAAGATTTTGTGTCATGGCAGCACAATGTAATTCTGCATTTCTGGTGGCCTCTACAGAGATGCGAATGTCACTCAGGAGGCTTACCAGTTTTCACATGTAAAAGACAGAAAACCAGTGCATGACTGAAGTACATGAATTTATGTAGCCTTGTCTGTCTGTGTGTTTCATTTTGTCACCTATTCAAACTGTCACCTGCTTCCACCCCTTGGCTTTCTGACCTTCATAGAGAAATCACAGAGCCCAAGAAAGCAAGCTAGTGTTCATTTGTCTGAAAGACCGCCTCAGAAGACAGTTGGGGAGGGATTTGGTCATGGGGACATGTGGGAGGCAAGAAAAGAGAATCCAGAAAGAACAGAGATCACTTCTGGTTTTCAAATCTGGATTTTCTTTCATCTAGGCTTTGCTCCAGCCTTTGTTCTGCTGGATCCCTTCCAGCATGCGGAGCACCACTGCTCCCCCTTGTTTCCTCTGTCAGCCTGCAGAAGACATGGGTGCCCCTTTTGAAAGGATGTTGTTTGTGCCACTCCCTTGGCATTTTGCTACCTGTTGGGAGGATGTGTTAGACCTTGCTAATTCCATAATGAAAAGAAATGCTTGAATGAGGGACCATTAGTAAAGAAAAAGAGTTTTAAAAAAAAAAAAAAGAGGACAAACTGTTGACTCTTTTCAGCTGACATAAGAATCAAGTTTTTATTGACTGTTTTGCTTAACTCCCTGTTAACAAGGGGCCTGGCAGTGCACTTTACTCTGACATGCCATCAGAGAGAGAGGCGGATCTATAAAGTCATCCATTGTGGATGGTCTGTGATTTATGTGAAAGAATGTGCATTGTCTCAAGCAGCTTGTTATTTGGGAAAAGCGCTTAGTTACAGGTTTGATGGTCGCTACTTGTTTTCTTAGTTTCTCTCAAACAACTGTGTGACAATAAAGCATAATATTGAAAAGATTTTAAGAACATAGTCTTAATCCATTAAAGAGTAAAGCATATAACAAGTCTTATCTCCATCTCAGCATTTCAGTGATGTCCAGAGGAGGTATATCTCTGAGACCAGATTCTATGAGCCAGGTCCAATAGCAGTGTTTCAGTGGTAATGAACAAAATACCCTCTTTCACATCAAAACCCCTTTGTATTGATGCAAGGAGAATACCCATGCTCTGAAAAGCTTACCTAGCAGAATTTAATCTCTGGGTTAGATATGAAGTACATTTTTGAAAGAAAAATAGAACAACCTGCTTCTAGACCTGTAATAATAAAGCCCAAGGAAACCTACCTTAATCTTGTGATATTTTTATTAAGTAGAAGGTATCTGTTTAAAGGAGTTCTGGAAAGAGAGAGGAGGAAAGTATCTCCTTCAATGGCTTCTCCGATTGCACTTGGTAGCAAGTTACGCAAAATGACCCCCTGCATGACAGGTAGAGCTGGTAACTGTACTATATTTTCCTGTTTTCATAGCAAACCAAAGAGAGAGTGAAGTTGTTGATACAGCTGGCTGATGGCTTTTGTGAAAAAGGGCATGCTCATGCAACAGAGATTAAAAAATGTGTCACAGCAGTGGATAAGAGGTACAGAGACTTTTCCCTGCGCATGGAGAAATACAGGACCTCTTTGGAGAAAGCTCTGGGTATTTCCTCTGATTCCAATAAATCGGTAAGAGAAATTTGAGTGTGATGACAGACAAACAAGCTTTACTTGCATTTGATTTTGCTGCTGTTTTCTCCTGTCTCCTTCGTTAATCAATACTTCCTTTCTTTAATAAAGAGCAAAAGCTTGCAGCTGGATATAATCCCAGCCAGTGTCCCTGGGTCAGAGGTGAAACTGCGCGATGCTGCTCATGAGCTTAACGAAGAAAAACGAAAGTCTGCCCGCAGGAAAGAGTAATAAACTTATTTATTTTTAATTAATGAGAATGCATAAATCAATCCTGATAATGAAACATCTGTCACAGCTTGTCGGGCCGCTTAGAAATTGTGTAAATGGTAAAAAGAGAGCGATATTACTTAGTAGCTTCTGTTGCCATTTATTCATATGCTTGTTCTCACAGATAATTCTAGCATGTCAGAATCTTAAATTTTGAAAACTACATTAGTTTTCTTTTAACATGCTTTTTCCTTTTAAAAATAATGTGAAATAAGTGTGTAAAGGGAGGAGGGAAGACAGAAGTTAAGTGACTGTAGTAATTGAAAAGTGTTAGAGAAAAATTTCATCTCCTTCCCCATTTCTTTTTGTGCTGGTTAGTAATGGAGGATGTTACCTCTTATGTTTCCTTCATCTGTTGTCCCTCTTCACATTTCAGTTCTCAAATTTTTCTCGCAGCAGTGGAAAAAGCAAAAGCTGATGAGGAGAAAGATGTATTCTGGTTATTATGTATTCATAGTGATCTAACAGACTGAGATATGATTATTCTTTCTGTTGTCACCTAAGGTTCATTATGGCTGAACTAATTCAGACAGAAAAGGCTTACGTAAGAGACCTCCGGGAATGCATGGATGTAAGTTTCCTTTTTTTCACTTATCTTTGAAGGCAGGATTCAATCCGTTGCTTTCTTTCTGGTTTTAACAGCCGAGCATGATTGGTTTAGAGTCATAGAACCAAATTAAGTATCTTTACTGCTATTAAGAAGAAACCTAGAATTACATCTGATAACTGCCATTTCAGATTCATCCTGTATGTTTTGCTTTTGTCAGTACTGAGTTTCAGCATTTGTTCCTTTCCCAGTTCATGGCTGGGAGGAGGGGGGTGTTTTAGAGAGGAGGGAAAAAGGAGGGGTTTACTTTATTTGCTTTGCTAGCAATAGAGAAGAGCTTGTGCTAATTCTCTTATTATCTGTATCACATGTTCTGCTACTAGCTGACTTTTTGAATAGAAATTCAGAGAGATTCCATGGAAAAGTGCCCAGTAATTGTTATGCTGAAGCAACTAATGTTCATTGGTAGTTGTTGCACAAAGCATGAACTTCTAGACTGCAGACATGACCTTGATAACGGAATATCCTGAAGCATTAGAGGTTGTCAAGAACACTATGCATTTTAAATGATGAAGTCTCAGGGACTATGTTAAATTGTCAGTTTTAGAACTTGGATTTCAGTGTCAAAATCACAAGGTATATTTGACACAACAGGCACTGTCACAATTGGAGATGATGATGCTGTGTGATGTTTCCCTAGTTTCTCTCCAGGAATGCATGCTTACAGATACCTGGCTGCTACTGCTGGGAGTTTATCATCACTTTTCATGCATCTTTTTTGTTCTGGGCAGACGTATCTATGGGAAATGACAAGTGGAGTCGAGGAGATCCCACCTGGTATTGTAAACAAAGAACACATTATCTTTGGAAACATGCAGGAAATTTATGAGTTCCACAATAAGTGAGTGACTTATCTTCTATTTCCATATTACTTCTAAATCCAAATGATGACCTGAGGGATTTCCTAATGAAAATATTGTGTGTATGAATAACGGATGCTTTTCCATTTAAAAAATCTAATTGTTTTCCTCTGGCATTGCTAAATTATTTCAGTTGTTGCTTTTTGCAGCTAGGTAAGTACACTGTGAGAAACTTTATTTTTCAGTCTCAGGCATCTTTCAGCTTCTAAGAAATTACTTGGGTACATGAAAATTTTGTTGTAGATTTTTGAGTTGTTCTAAAGAGATGAAAAACACTGAACTCAATAGAATACAAACGTAGCACAAACATCAGGATGCTGTCATTCTTTTAGAACCCTCATTCTTGATTTCCACGTGCAGCTGTTAGTCAGAAAAAGTAGGGCTCATCACTTTTCCTTGGCTCTTCTTAGCTTCTGTGGAGGTGCCCCAGCATAAATACATTTACTCGAATATGGAGCATGAAGGAGGCTTGTCCACTACATTTCTTCTGAATGGAATGGTTCCTAGGGAAATCTGTTTACAGAAGTCTTGCTCTGAATTTTCCTTCTTTGTTAATTCATTGGTGTTTGTATTAGGTTATGATTTTTAAAGTAATAAAGAAAATCAATTAAATTAAAATAAAAGACCCTGAATTTATTGTTCTTTGTATGCTTTGAGAACTTGAGCATCCAAAAAACAACTCCTCTTTTTTTTTTTTAGGATTTTTTTTTTTTTGAGATGAAGGCTATGCTTTTCTTGAAACTGGAAACAGTAGGAAACCTTCTTGATGGAAAACAAAAGAAACTACTAAATTTTTGTATGCACATATGTGTTAACTGCATGTCTGCTGGTTCAGTTTCTGATGTTCACATGAGAATTTTTATTGAATTACATTCTATACTAGTACTTTTATTATACATTTCTATCCTTTCCAGTAATCTGTATTTCTTTAACTCATGCTTTTGGCATGAATTACAGCAAGTTTTCTAACTGCCTTTATTCACAGACAATAGATCCATATCAGGTGCTGTAATGAATACGTTTCATGTGCTTTATACTATTTGTTTCTTCTCTTCTATCCACAGTATATTTCTCAAGGAGCTGGAAAAATATGAACAGCTACCAGAAGATGTTGGGCATTGCTTCGTTACTTGGGTAATAAGTCAGACTTATTTTTAGAAGTAAAAAGGGAGATAGGAGGCATGAAGGGATGGATTCTTGCTCTCAGATCCCTTTTTGATTTGTAAAATTTGCGAAAGTACCTCTTCCTTCAATTTGATTAAAAACGTGTATCTTTAACTGAGGAAAAAAATTAGGGCACTCCTGTCAGATAGCTGTACTTAGCTGCTCTTGAAATGTATGCAAGTTGCCTAAACCCCTGTGCAGGTTTGGTTTGTCTTAAATATTAATAACGTACTTTTGCATACATTGCTCTTGTTTTCAATTTTTCTTACCTGATATATATTCTTATGCTACCAGTTTGAATGGCAGATTCCATATAGCTCAATTTCTTGATGGAGATGATAAGCTCTCTGATAATTGTGGAAAATCTTTGGGATGGGAATGATGCTCTCTGATAACCTGTGTAAATTTGCACTTTGTTCTGCAGGCAGACAAATTCCAGATGTACGTTACTTACTGTAAAAATAAGCCAGATTCTACTCAGCTGATACTAGAACATGCGGGAGCATACTTTGATGTAAGTACCTCGTGTCCATCTTAAAAGTATGCCTTGGCAGTTTGACTCACATATTTGCAGTTATGCTGAGTGCCTAATTTCTTAAGACAATGCAAGTTTCCTGTTACTAATGCTGAAATTTATTAAGCTGTCAGCTTAAGAAAATCAATCTCATATCTCTCGTGGTTAACTTGCATTGCTCAGTTGGTGTTACAAAGCTGTCAAATCAGATGTGAAAAGTTGCTGTCACGTATCAGGGCAGTTCAGAACTGCAAGCAGGTTCTGGCAACAACAACCAAGACATGAATCTCACACAAGGTCATTCTGCAAATCTTAGCATTTTGATATGCTTAGTTTGCATTGTATGATATAAAGATAGAAATTTTTGGTAAATTTTTGGAGTACTTTAAATTCTCATTGCATGTAGTGGTAGTTCAGTTGACTGCTGTTGTTCAGAACAGCGAAACCAAACACCTTGCAAATCAGTCCCAAGGTTCCCTGGTGTCCACACTTAATATTCTTCATTAAAAAGGACAAAAATGTAGATCTGTTACAGGTTTTAGGGAGGAATTTTGGCGACACTGAATAAGTTTTGGTTGAACATGTATTTACGGATAATTCAATTAGAGTGCTCTCTTTCTGGTTTTGTTTTTTTCCCCACTGTGCTGAGCCACTTGCTGTGTTGTGGCACCACAATTTTTTTTAGAATTGTTTGTAGTACTAGGGGGAAGGACATAATAAAAAAAATCAACCAAACGGAAAAAGTCCCTGGAGTTCTTGGAGTTACTTTAAAAAGTTATCACTGAGGAGATGGCAGTTCTAAATATTGGAAGGTAAATCAGGCAGATATGACCAAAAAAAGTAAAGAAAAATTTGGTAAACACCATTTTAAAAAATAACAAAGAGCTCTGATAAAATTATTAGAAATAAATTCTTGCCACCACCTCCCTTGATCCCTCTGTTTTACCGGTATATCCATAGCTCTCCAATTGCCTAATCCACCTAAATTATATTAGAAGTGTGAAAACCTAATTCTGTTCACAGAGAACTTCAAGAGCTTCCATGGATATCGCACTGGTCCATGTGAAAATATTATGTGTACCCTGTCCTGGGAATTTTTGGTATTGTAATCATGGTTAGAAAGCACATAGCTGCAGGGAATAACTTACTGCTTGAAATTGCCTGGTTAAAATCCATCCAATACTGTGATAAATGGCAGACCCTATCAGTGAAATTCAGCCCTGTTCAGTAGTTGAAATCTGTAATCATCCCATGTAACTCATTTAAATCTGTATGCCTCCTTTAGTTTTGTGGAGATAATTCTTTTTTTTTTTTTTTTTGCTAGTAAGTGGCTCTTTTCAAGTGCTTGCTAGTCTTTTTTCTTTAGTCAGAAGCTGTTTCTCCGTGCTCCCCCTTGTGGGGGACGAGGCCATCCGTGGCTGTTGGGAGTTAAACTACCAGCGGATGCTGAGAAACCTCCACCTCAGCCTTCCTTTGATAGTCCTGGCTCTTCCCTGGAACACTGAAATTTGTGATTTTTCTCTCTTGGGAGTAACAAAAGTAGTGCAGATTTTAATGTTTTTAAAAAAGGTATTGCCACATATTTTATATCCCTAATTGTTGCTCTTTGTATTTAGGTTTGTAGAAATGTGTTACAGATGCCCTTGGAGGTGATAATGTTCTGTTTAAATGAAGTGAGCAGACAAATGCACAGTGTAACTATTCACTGTGTCTGGAATATCTGGTTGTCCTGATTTTTTTGTTTTTGTTTTTGTTTTTTTTTTCCTTGTTAAAACAGAATTTGAACTTAATGTATATTATTGCTTAGCCCTCAAAGCAGTCTGTATTTGAGTGTTGGTGCTCACAATCCTCAAATGTTTGCTTTTTTTTATGTAGGAGATACAGCAACGACATGGACTGGCCAACTCTATCTCCTCTTACCTTATCAAACCTGTCCAAAGGATAACAAAATACCAGCTTCTTTTAAAGGTCAGTGTTAATTCAAAATTCTTCATGTGATTCTGCTGTTCTTAAGAAGGCAAAGCTCTTGCTGAAGCAGGAGGGCTGTACTACTGTGTGCTCTGAGATTACAGCATCCTCGGCAGCTTCAAATACTGCTGCAATATTTCTTAGCAGACCACTGAAAATGAAAGAAGGCATAAACAAGCAACATTTTTGTCCAGATTTCTGTAAATCAAACATATACCTTTCTACTAAAGAAAATATAATTTGCATTTCCAGGGTAAAAAACTAATTTATGGCTGTATAGATGCATTTTTGTAGTGGATTCTACAACAAATTTTGGCAAGGCATTAGCTACACTGATGGTAGTAAGTACTGTAAAATAGATATAATTTAATATATTCACGTATAAAACCATAAGATAAAATATCTATAAGATATAAATATATGTGTATATAAAAATATTTGTATACACACACTGAGTAACTGTAGAGCTGTTGGACAAACAGTTGTTATTTGTAATGTTGACTGGAAATGTCAAGTAAATAGTAGCTGCTAAAATAAACAAAAATTTTTGAAACCTATAGTTAGAACTTTCACTCAGGTTGGAAAGGTGGAAAGAAGTCTGTCATTTTTGTCTGAAGCACATTGTCTGTTCTCCTCTTGCAAAAAGTTGCAACTCAATCAAGTTATAACTTACAGAAATACTCAAGGTTGTGCTGTTTCAGATTTTTTTTTCAGGTATTAATTCCAACAGTCATTTTTTTAAAAATATAAATATACCTTAACCTGCTACATTATTGAAGTGATGGAATAGATCACCGGTGTTTGCAGAGTCAGATGGCTTTGCTGCGTGGTAAAATGGGTTTATTTGGTGGTTTCTGGGTTTTCTTGTTTTCTTTCTTTCTTGTTTTCTTTCTTTCTTTTTCTTTCTCTTTCTTCCTTTCCTTCCTTTCCTTCCTTTCCTTCCTTTCCTTCTTTTCCTTCCTTTCCTTCTTTTCCTTCCTTTCCTTCCTTTCCTTCCTTTCCTTCCTTTCCTTCCTTTCCTTCCTTTCCTTCCTTTCCTTCCTTCCTTTTGAGAACCCAAAACTTGAATGATAGCTTAAACATTTTACCTTTCTGGAAGTTCTGCTTATTTTTCCCAATGGTATTGGAGCTGCTCCTCTTCTGTGCCTCTGAGGGATATTTAATTACTCTCACTATTCTGTAGAGTTGTCATGCAAAAATAAAGTGTGATCATGTAGTGTTTTGCTGTGATGGTGGTATTGGCAGTTAAATACAAATAATAAAATGATGACAATAGTAGGAATCATATGGCTTTCCCTTTAAAAAGGAAAAAAGGCATTTAACCTAAGGGGATGAATTAACTGGGCCTTTTGAATAATAGAAGGAACATAATATGCCCTTTTGGTTACATAAGCTACATTTTATCTTGATAGTGTTCAAGTGCTTAAAAGTTGTGAGGAAATTTGAATATCAGCTGAGGCACTGTTATGTTATCTGTGGGATGTTGAACGGGAAGAGAACTGTATGCCCTAAATTCCACTACAGCACTTCAGCATGTTCCATTCTCTAGCTTCTGTCCATTAGTTAATGCTTGTTTGTATTAAAAAGATTTGTCCGTAGGTTGCTTTTAACTGTGTGAATACAGAACAGAGTCATTCATGGAATAGTTAGAATAAAACAATGTAAATCCTTTTATCAGCAGTAGTACAGAGCCAGGTCTTTGATGCAGTGGGGCAGTGACTGACATGGGAGGCAGGAGGGGTCCTTTTGTGCTGTCCTGCTTTCCACCATCTTCATGACAGAACAAGCTGCGTTGTTCTGGGCCTTAATGTAGCACAGCATCTGATAACTGTGTCTGTGCTTATCAGAATAAAAAATTTTCCCTAATGTAACTTCTGAAGATTTCTTACTAAGTAGATAATCCTGTTTAAATTAGAAGTGGCTAACTGAAAGCTTGGGCTGCTACTTGAAGAACTGATCTCGATAGAAACGAAGTATACTGTCGTGTCATTGGCAGAGTAAGAAGTTCAAAAAGATTTCACATATCAGAAATGATTCATGGCTTGTTAGAAGTACTGTTTGATTATCTGTTGTGTTAGTGGAGAAGTACATGATAGAGCCCTCTTGTCTGCTTGTCCTTTGCAGGAGCTGCTCACGTGCTGTGAAGAAGGTAAAGGTGAGATTAAGGATGGCCTGGAGGTGATGCTTAGTGTGCCAAAGCGAGCCAATGATGCCATGCACCTTAGCATGCTGGAAGGTAGGAGTCAAGCTGCCTTTCCAATTTCCTTGTATGCTGCAGGTTAACTTTGTTTAAGAACATGAACATACTCTTATCTCTGAGTTTGTATTTTTCATACATATTTTTTTGGAGGTATATAAAATGCAAACTTATTTAGGAAAATTAATTGTTACAGACAGCTTTGTTAAATTTTTAAGTGTTCTTTCATCCTGATCTATAGCTGTGCAGATTTGAAAAATAGTAAGCTAACAAAGTATTCTACTACTTACCCAAAATGCAGTAAGTGGCTGGTCAGGTATGCTACCTTTTGCTACATTTTTCAACCAGTATCCTTGGCTTCTTTGTAAGAGAGGTGATTTATGTATCAAATAATTGTCTCCAAGAAGTTTTGTCTTTTTCACATTTGCTGCCTGTTCCATAACAGACTTCTGGTTGAAATGCAATGTATCTTCTGGCAGTAAAATGTCAGCATAAGCCAAGTTAGCCCACGCCTTGGCCAGCATAATCACATTCATGGCAGACAGTGGAGGTTGGATGTAATTGCTTCTATGTGCTTAGAACAACTTTCTGCCAAAATGTGTTTTGTAATAGGCATATTATCATGTATCATGGTGCCATCATACAGTTAGTAATAAAAGTGATTTTCTTTGGCATTTATTTTTTTTGAGATTAAAGCAAAGACACCTTACCCTGCAGTTGCTGAATAAAGCTTATAGCTGCTTCTAGTCGATATTCCTTTTCCTCCTCTCTGTCTTCTAGTAGTAAAATGCAGCTGGTTAAAATACAACTCATCTCGGTTTGACATGTGATCCTTGATCATGTGTATCTCGAAATCACCTCTGTTCCTTGATTTTAAACAGTAGGGGTGTTGGTCAGTTTACAGGATGGGTTCCAAATGCTTTGTTGAGGAGATGGTGTTAGTATAAATGCTGACCAGCTTTGATAATAATCTTTTAACACTGGGAATGTGACTCTGGAGAATATCCTAATCTTTTACAGAAGTTGGTTTTATAACAAATCATGCATGTATTGTTGAGTCATCCCGCATTAGACAAATATAGTGAGTGAGCACATTTCCTCTTTATGTCTCTGGAGGATTTTCAATGAATGTCCTGATGGAACTTGCCTCTGATTCTCTCCAGAGTCTTGCGCTGTTGAGACGAGTGAGAACTGACAAGCTATATTTATTTAAAATACAGTTTAGTACCACTTGGAAGAGTATGATAGACCAGCTTTGTTATCCTGCAACTCTAAAGCTGTGTATTAAACTGGGGGAACGTGGTACCATTACAGTGGAAGTAAAACTGTTGGTATTCTCACTCATCATCTTTTTTCATTATGTCTCAAGATAAGTGATCCAGATGCTAATTTCTTTATTGTGGATCAATTCTGGAGTGACCAATGGCAGGCTGATCGCTTGCCAACGGCTCCAAGCTACCCATCACTGACTTGAACATGTTTGCGTGCTTGGCATGTACATGGTAGGGAAGGTATACCTCCAGAAAAAGTGACATTTGGGAGCTTGCCACTGCAAGAACCTGTGCTCTGTGTGTCCTTGCAAGTTGCTCACTTTCTACAGTATCAGAAAGCTTATAAAAGAAATCACTTTAATCACCAGAAGCTGTCATTTGTTGGTAAAATACTGCCAGAAGAGTTGATTAACTTCTTAACAGTTGGATCTCTAAATTTAGAAATAGGCTTGAGCTACAGAGTTACATCTAGTGTACTGCAGTGTTGAAATCAGTCTTGTTTTTAGTATTGCTTCCTTGGAATCCCATCTTCTGCATGTTGTATCGGGGGGAAAAATGATATCTCTTAATAAACAGAAGCTGTGCTTTTTAATTTCCTTGTATTACCGGCTTTTGATGGTGAACCATTACTCTCCCTCTGTTTCTAGGTTTTGATGAAAATATAGAATCTCAGGGAGAGCTCATCCTTCAAGAATCCTTCCAAGTATGGGACCCAAAAACTCTCATTCGAAAGGGAAGAGAGAGGCACCTTTTCCTTTTTGAGATGTCCTTGGTTTTCAGTAAAGAAGTAAAGGACTCGAGTGGAAGGAGCAAGTACATTTACAAGAGCAAACTGTTTGTAAGTATGGGAGAACAAGTGATCATATTTACAAAACTGTCTAGACAAGGCTCTGACTAAGCTCAGATGATTTAAATATGCCTGAAGAACTTGAACAACTATTATAGTGCACTGGAAGAACAGCCTTGGAATGTATAGAGACTGAATCTTGTAACTCTGCTACTTTGTCTTGCTTTTGAGGAGAAAGAGTAGGGTCAGAGCAGCTTGGTGTGTCAGATCAAAGGAAAACAGATATTGGGCTGAACTGATTTTCTCTTAATTGTGTATGTAGATTGCTAGTTCTTTAAGGCTTATTTGTATAAAGCAGAAGGATGGAAGGAGTTGACAAGCTGCCTTCATCTTTCTTGTTTACTATTGCTGTTGTAGTAGTATTGATCTTAAGGATTCATTTTAGTGGATATTCTACACGTGATGATTGGGAAAGGCGAGAACTTTGTTTTGGAAAAGTTCATTCCAGAATGACTAGTGAGACCAGTAGTCTTACAATAACATTCTTTAAATGAAATCACAGTACTTATGGTCTACTGAAAGGATGTAAAGGTGGAAATGTTTTTCTTCCCATCTAAAAAAAATAATTAAAAAAACCCCCAAACCTCCACTCTTGCTTTCTTTATCTGTAACATGTATGCTTTACAAAATGTGTCCCTGGAATTCATATCCTTCCTCTCTCGTTGGATGACTTGGGTGAGAGCAGTATTCACACTCCATAAATTTAGGTAGCCAAGTGGCAAGACAATCTCCCTGGCTTGCTCTGCATCTGTCAGAGGCAAGATTAGCTTTTATACCAAACATTTCAGAACAAGTACTTGCAGTTACTTTCCTTCTTAGAATCACACTCTAGAAAACATTGTTCTCCTAATGATCCTATCGGGATTTATGACTAAGTCTACATGGTGTAAATACTGAGTCTTTTCTCTGTGCTTCTGCTCCTTTTCCTTCATTCATTCCCACTTCCCACTTCTTTATGTGAACTGGTAAAGCAGGTTGGTCAGGAAAACCTTCTCTTTTTCCATATCTTACTTTGCATATTCTGTCACTTGATTTTGAGCGCTTGCTTTTCTTCCTGATGCAAGATAGCTAGCGGGTAACACAGCTGCAGCTGTTTTGTTGATCGTACCTTTCTTTGGTGCTCTTAAGAACCTGAAATAAAAAAAAAAAAAAATCCTACTGCACTGTAGGGTAACAACAGATGCCAAGGAACTAGGTGGGAGAAGAGACAGCTGAAAAATTGGTCCTGTAAGCTTGCCATGTCAGTTCCTGGCAGGAATTTAGTAATAGCCTTTGGTCCTAGGGAAGCTGATGGAAATCTTGAAGACTCTCATTGTGGATCGTTTTTAAAATACAAGGCTTCTTTTTGTTTTCATGTTCTATTTTGGCAAAATATGCTGTAGTGCAGCTTACTATTACAGCAGTTCTTGTAGTTTGTTCTTTAAAAAAGGCATTCATACAGGTGTTGATAGCATGCATGTTGATTTGAGCTAAAGATCTTTTTTGCATCTATCCTATGTCCTGCCTGTGGAATATGGTTTTACAAAAGTGAGGTTCTTCTCTTTGCTTGGGGCATGAGGACCAGCAGGGTTTCCCCAAGACGTGATACTCAGTGGCATGATCAGTATAAGAGGAAGAATGTGTTACTGAACTCCTTTGGCAAGAGATGTAGTGTCCAAAAGCAAATGCCTAAGGAAAACTATGGGAACAAGGCAAACAGGTGTTCCTTTGACAGAAAACTTTCCCAGTCACCAGTAACTGGCTGTTTGGGAGCTTCCTCACTTCAGTGTGGTTTCGATGCATTCATTAACCCACAATGATTTCTCTTCTGTGAGCTTGTCCTTGGACTGCATGCAGACTTTTAGCATTTACAGTGTCCTTTGCAGAGAGCTGTGTTGCTCAACTACAAATTGGGCACAGGCAAGCCTCCTTGTGTCAGATTTTGCACCCGAGTCCCTCCCACTTGTTTCACTTGATGCTGTACCAGTACTGAGAGGGACAGTGAACAACCCATGTCTGCTTTGCTGCTCCTTGCTGTACAGACCTCTACTGCATTGTCCCTCAGTGGTCCCTTGTAAAATTAACGTCTACAAGAGTAGCAAGATTCTAAATTTGCTAGGCTTTGAAAATCAGACAATATTAAAAATTTGTACTGTCTTGCCTATTCAGATTTTGTACTGAGCAGCACAGTAGGGTGTATTTTTTTGGAATTGCATAATGTAATGTTGCATTATGTATTTTAAAAGTCCTTTAACGCACAAAAGAGTTGTTGGTGAGTCAAGTTTAAAACACATAACAGACCTTTAAACATTTCAGTGAAGAAGAGTTCATTCTACCAAAAAGAGATGACAAAGCTGAAAGGATGGATGTGGGGTTTGGGGGTTTTTTTAGAAGAAATAATTAAAAAAACCAAACCAAACCAAAACAAAACAAAACAAAAAAAAAACCCACAAAAAAAAAACCACAAAAGCAAAACAACAACAACAAAAACCCCACCCACCAAAACAGAAGAAAACCAAGTTGGCATCCAAGTTTTGCAGGAAAAAAATTACCTTTACTCAGGTACTGCGTATCCAACATCTCTTGTCATGAAGTGGGTACATGCTAATGTGTATGAGGGGAAAAATACAGCTTCTAACCATGTAAGAATGCTTAGCAGCTGTTTGGGAGTGAGAGTTCCTGTAGTTTGAGCTTTATTTCTTATTGTAATTTTTTTGAAGCAGAGCCTGTATGAATTGTTTAACATTTTGGATGATAATTAGCTGTTAAGGTCTGATATTAGAACATTCCCAAAGACTGATTGTTAATATAGTTGTCTCACAAAATTCTCCAGGGAAACTGCATTTCTGAATTATTTCATCTGTTTCAGAGGGAAGGAAACACTGTAGAAAAGGCTCATTTGACAGGAAAGAGAGATCAGAGTTTTAGAAGATATCAAGAGAATTCTTAAGCAAATCTTACCTGAGAGAAAACATAAAAATCAGTAAATAGTGAGTATTCCCCAGTGGAAGTCAACAGGGAGAGAAGCCAAAATTTATTTTTTACAAAGCACCTTTTTTAGAGTTATAAGGCTTTTACTGTCAAGTCCAAAAACTAAAATAAGCAATTTGGTCTTCAGATCATAAATGCAATTGTTTATTGTTACTTTATAGAAAAAACTTTGCAGTTCTTCCTTTTTTTCTTTTCCTTTTTTTATTCGTACCAGAAGAAAAGATTCTCTCTAGCGTATGAGTTAGCTTTAAGCTTCTGAAAGTCTCGTTAAATAGCAGAGATCAATTTTTTAGAATATTAGCATGCCTTTATGGCTTCTGAGAAAACAAATTTCTTTGTCCTGACAAATTTTTCTTAATTCCAGACTTCTGAACTGGGTGTCACAGAACATGTAGAAGGAGATCCCTGCAAGTTTGCTCTGTGGGTTGGAAGGACACCAACTTCAGACAACAAAATTGTTCTTAAGGTAATTTTAGCATATATGCTTGTACACTCTATCCGAAGTCTTGTAGTTCTTGTTGATACTTGGGAAGGCAACAAGTGGTGATTTTCCTGTTTTGAGAGGGACAGCTGCTGACAGATAAATTTCTTTGTGGTGGTGTATATATATCTAACTCATGTGGACTGATGACAGACGGGAATCTGTGTAGTCTGCTAATGGATTAAACTTGATTTCACAAATTGTAGGAGGGAGATGTTTGATGCCGTGGACCTCTGTAGCTTGAAGACTTCAGCAATTAGCTGACAGGGTAATTGATGCCACATAGAAATGATGGCGTCAGTGTTACATTTCACACTCAAATCATTGCTGCTCGCTGGTGATGCTGTTTCTCAGGACCCTTATTTTTATGCAGAAAACAAACACTGAAAAAGATTTTTATGTCCTTCTGTGGGCTAGAAGTTTTTCTGAAGCTACTTGACTTTGGATGAAAGTGCATGCAATGCCTATAAATTTTGCATCTGGACAAGTTACAGGTGTCGGTAGTGCTCTTTATCTAGCTAGGAGAATGGCTGAATCAATTTTTCCTGTGATTATGGTATGTAGTCTGGGACTACTTTTCAACTGGAGGACTTTTTTGATATACTATAAGCAGTTCATGGGCAATTTGACATATTTTGAGGAATGTGTCTGCTTTGAAATTTTTCTTTTGTTACCTGTGTTGAGCTGAAATAAAGTTCATCGTCTCTTTTATAGGTTAATACACCTATTATTAAAGTTGTTCTTGACTTCACGAATATTTTTAGTGAATACTCAATAATGCCACTTAAAAATGTGCCCTCAGGAAAAGCTCACATTAGTGAGCAGCAGTCAGTGAATGCAAAGAAATTAAATGTAATGCTAATAAATATTAGAATTTTTTTCAGTCTTATTGCTCCACAATTTTCAGACGGTGCTTTGGAGCCTGAAATGATCCTCCCAGAGCAGAGCAGAGTAAGGGGTTTTATTTAGGTCCTCTCTGTGTAAGATCAAGATGTTCCTGTTTGGTGCTTTACTTAGAGCATAGAATATTTAGATAACTTGTATTATAAACAATTAAACAATTGAATAAACAAATTAACAATTTTCTTGATGTTTTTGTTTATTTTTAAAGGCTGGAAACAAGCACTTCCTTAGCTCATTATTATTGAAAAAAATTCTATGAAAAACAAACCAAAATATTTTTAAAAAATTATGTTTGGCTTCTTTTCCTAAATGTTCTTTTTGTAAAAGAAACTGAAATTCTTTTTCCTACCTGTTCGTCCATTTGTGCAACTTTCTCCATCTGTTTAGGATCCCTGGTTATTAAATATTTATGGTATATTAAATACTTATAGTGTATTTGAAGCCAATTACTTCAGGAGACAGCAATTAAGAGAAGTAAGAAATTTATATATAATAACTTCTTTAGATCTGCAATAATGTTTACATGTAATAGCATTTCAGGTGGAGGGTTAAATTGGATTAAATGATGAGATTACAAGTTGGCCAGGTGCATATCAAGTAATTTCTGGAGTATCTAAAAAAATAGAGATGTTGCAAGCAGTTATTGAAATACAATCCCTAAATTAGCCTTTTACCTCGAGATATGTATCAAAAAGTGAGAGCAGGAGTACATGAAATGTGTTATGGAAGTACATGTGTTGCAGTAAAAGTTAATGTTTCTTTCAGTAAGATTAGATTAATATCTCAAGTTAGAATTGACCTAAAATGTAGTATGAGCTTAAAATATGAGTGTTCAAGGTGTTATTACTGTAATTTACTGTTTGGAGTAAATTAATCCACCATGTCTCACATGAGATGTGTACAGGGCTTCAGTCTTCAAGTTATAAAAGTGGACTCTGAATTTAGGTTAAAATGTTTTTTAAAAGAACAATATTAGTAGTGTTCAGAAGTGTAAAGCAGTGTTGATGATTCAAAGTTAAGATGACTAGCTGGAATTTCCTTTTCTCTGTTTAGGTTTTCAAAAATTATTCACAAAGTTATTCTTAATGCCTTCCTCTTTCTGTTTATTAGCTGACTATATGTGTGGATCTTCTCTGCTATAATAGTTCATTGTGGGGTTTTTGTTTCTTTTGCATATCAAAGGCATCCAGTATAGAGAATAAACAGGACTGGATCAAACACATCCGCGAAGTGATACAAGAAAGGACCATTCATCTGAAAGGAGCACTGAAAGAGCCGATCCACATCCCCAAAACCGCACCAACAACAAAACAGAAAGGAAGAAGGTAAGTAGTATTTCAAATAATCAGAGATCTCTGTGTACACAACAGCACTCTTTCCTCTGTAGTGTTGAATTTCTAGTGACTTTCAGTGAACTGGACAAAAGCAAGAGTCATTTTGTCCAGCTTTATCTTATCATTAATTTACAGTTTCCTGTAGTGCTGAATTTACTGAGATTTCTGCTCTGAACAGTCTCTGCCTTGTGTACATTCAGCCGTTACAGAAGGGATTTAGAACTGCAATTCAGGATAGGTGTACATTTGGGATTTTTGCAATTCTGTGTGCCTTATCCAGGTCCTTGGTTTTCCTTTCATGAAGCTTGAAATATGTGACTGACTGTCCTGCTTGCTAGCTTTGGCTAAATGTCTGTGCAAGTTTCTTGCCATAGTTATGGCTGATTGGTTGTTGCCTTAATTCTATATGATGTAGACCTTGAGCAAATGAATCTGTTTTATTACAGCCCTGAACAAAGTATTAAATACTGAATATTTGGTTCTTGGCATCAGTTGTTTCTTTTGGTGTCCATTGCCGCTTTGTCATGAGTGACTTACTTCTTCAGAATTACAAGTAGGGAACTAACATGTTACAAACACAGTACCACTGTTGTAATGAAAACTGAATTATTTGCAGAGACGGCGAGGACCTGGACAGTCAGGGAGATGGTAGCAGCCAGCCTGATACTATTTCAATTGCCTCACGAACCTCACAGAACACACTAGACAGCGATAAGGTAAGTTCCCCAGACGTTGCTCTGTTCTGAGAGCAAATGATGAATACCTTAGTGTGAGTTAGCACCCAAGATTAGTTTTTAGTACCTGCAGAGAGGAGGCATGGAAATATTCAATCTCGTAAAAATAGCTGTCTGCAATAGAGAAGATACCATGGGGCAGCAGGGGTAATAGTTTAAATCTGATAGGTCATGAAGAAATATGTTTGTTCCAAAGTGAAACCATTTTGGTCCCCTCAGTTCTGCAGTCTGTTCAAAGATTTGACCCAGTTTAAAAAGCAAGTTTTATTTTCCATAAAATTTGATACTGATGCACAGAATTTTTCCTAGTGTTAGTCTCAGCCTTTCTGAAAGCATGCCATCTGCTTTTTGTGTTAGCTTGAGGCTGGTGAATGCCACAGTTTCTGTTGTGAAGGAAAAAATACTCCTCAGTGTTCATGGCTTAGAGATTAAGTGTTCACTTTCTGCATGAAAGCTGATAGAAATCACCCAAGAGTAACCTGCAACCTTGTTGTATGATACTAGTGCTAGTTTTTCCTTTCCTCCATCTCTGCCTGAAGATTCTGGCTGGGTTATGTATTCTCATGGGTTATATCATGAGAATACATAGCCAGAGTTTCCCTGGGTGGAAGAAAGATACGCATCAAAAGAATAAAAATTCTTCTGAAACGTGTATGTTACTTGTCATTAAAATAAGATTTATGGCAAGTGAGAAGTGCTAGGACCCTGGAGGGAGGTAGAAACGGACAACAGAGGTTTATCAAGCAGAAGAATCAATTAAAACATTGAAGCAGCCTAGCAAACTACCTGTGAATTTGGTTAGGGATTTCTGGCCTGTTGCCTTCTTGGGTAAAATTGTTCTGATAAGCCATTTGAACTATGCAGATAAATAAGAAGTATTTTACAGGAATAGGTTTTCAGAGTCATATCTTGACCGTTCCCATTGAAAAAAAGTCTTTTGATAACTTATGTTCTATTTTATTCTTTGCATTCTTACTTATCTTTTTAGTGATTTACAAAAATTATGCTTTGTATGCTAGCATACAAAGTTTAGTTTTTTGTTGTTGGTTTGTTGTTTTTTTTTGCGTTCTTAAGAGTTTAACTAATCTGTCACACTCAGAAGCAAGACGTGCTCTCTCTGATTTCCCTGATTGTTGGCTGAGATGTCAAACTGTGGGCGTGCAGCCTGGCTGGATTGTGCTTCAATTTAAATGGAGGTGGTGCAAACCATCCCTGACGTGCAGAGCCATCACCCTTCTTCAGTTGTTTGTGATGTACTGTTTACTGGGGGAATAGCATGGGTTGTTGTCTCCTGTTGCCCTTCATGGTAATATTTCATATCATGTGAGAATTGCTAAGAAAGTTGGCCATGTAAAATGCCCTCAGGATTGTTTTCCAGTCTGACATGAGGAGTTTTACCAAGAACCTGTTCAACGGGAGTGATAAGTTAAAAGAAGGACAAATGGAAGGAAGGAGAGATGGAGAATGGTTTTCAATATTTTCCTGAAAAATTAAATTTTAAATGTGACTGTAGTGTCATTTTTAAAATATTTTGGAGTTCTCACATTGGTGTATAAGGTTTTTGTTAGACTTTTCTCTGACAGGAACGTCAAGTGGAAGATGCCATGTACTGTATATCTGAAGAAGGAATTTATTGGTTGTGCACTTATAAAAATGTTAGCAGGGTAGCTTTGTTTAGTGTTTCTCTTATATGTTTCTGTTTGCTAAATACATTAAAAGGAGAAAATTTTTAATCTGTTTAAAAGTACAAAATAAAAATTAGTAATGAAGAACAACAGGCAGAAGGCCAGTGAAATATGTAGGGTATTTTAACACTGTTGCTGAGCCTGAAATAATCTCTCACTTTGTATGTTGAAAATTCCTGCAGTCCATTTGGGGTTTGAAAGCCACTGTTTTCTCAGCCTAGAAGGCTTGAAGTACGTATAAATGTCTTACAGAGATGTAGTAAAACAGTTTTATGGATGTTAGGTGCTGTTGGTGTCATTAGCTAGAGGAAGCAGTGGAACACCTCAGTCGCATTTGGAGTATGTCCCAAACTGAGATGGGAATCCAAATCAAGTAACATTAAGAATATCAAGTAATTGAAAATAGTATTAATCAAGTGGTAAAAATGTTTAACTCTGTGTTACTTGTTATGCTTTTGCTGAACATTTTTCTGTGTATGTGTATTCACACTTGAGATTAAGAAAAGACAACAAATATCAAATAGGTCACAGTAATCAACAGCGAAGTAAAACCATTCTTTTATTTCCTCCAGTTGTATGTTCAGATAGTTAATTATTTTAAAATAAATATTTGGTTAGAAGTGCTAAGCTATTATATAGGGAGAATATCAGGAGTGAAATCCTTTATCCAACAGTCAATACTGTTTCTCACCTCCTCAGAGATAAACTTTGAAAGAACTAAAAATCCTTAGCCTTGGTAATAAGTGGCTGAACATTGTCCAGATGAGTTTCTTTCCTTGCACCCTGTTTTCTGACGTAATTAGAATTGCCATAACTACAGAGAATAACTTCATAATTAGCTTTTTTTCTTCTCCACCCTTGCTTTTTAGGCTAGAATTGTAACTTCTGATTGTTGGCTCCACTGTTGCAGTACTGCTTTTTAGTAATGAGTGGGATGATGCAATAGACCATATGTTTTTAAAGCTGACATCGTTCCCAGCTTCATGTCATTTGAAAACTGTATTGGAAGGTAGAATTAGAATTCAGAATCATCTTGGCAAAGTAATGGGAGAAATTAATTGGCAAAATACCGTACAATTTAATAGGAACATGTTTGAGCTAATGTGAATAGGTGGAAATATTTAAATAGTAATGGAAATAGTAAGAGTCTAAATTGCTTTTTGAGAGGATGATTGAGAAGCTATAGAGGTTCACAAGCTGTTTATTGTTTTTAACTGTGTGATGTAAGTGAGGGAAGCAGCAATATATTGACTTGTAGAAATAGGATGCTGAGCTGCAGGACACAGAGTCCTCATTCTTTACTCAGCACTTGTAAGGCTACTGTTAAAGACTGCATCCAGTTTTGAGTTCAGAATTTTAGGAAATCAGTGATCCATTGGAAGTGTTCTAGGGGAAAGAAGAAGAAGATTAATTAGGCATCTACCAAACATAACTTACAAGGCAAGATTAAGAGTTAAGACTAATAAGTCTGAAGAAAAAAAGGCAGGAAAAACTTTAGGTCTTTAAGTGTGTAAAAGCAACCACACAGAGTTACAGAACAGTCTTTTACCTGTATTTTCAGTGGATGGGATGGAAACAAAGGACTTATTTTTAAAAAGATTACAAAAATATTTTTTATGTGTATGCAAATATGAAATCCTAGAGCAAAGTAATTATGAAGCCTTGGGAATCTCCATAACTGGAGTGCTTTGAGGACAGTTTGGATAAATGTTAATGATTCACACAGCTGTAGTTGATCGTGTTCTAAAGGAAGAAAGTGAATTACGTAATATAAGGTCCCTTTCCAGCCTGTTTTTATTATCATGCGATGTATCTTCATATTGCAAAACATGTTAAATACATCCGTAGCACTGACCCATCTTGGTATATTAGAAGGTATAATGGAATCCTGAATAAAACACAAAATTTTTGAGAGAGATTTCTACTCCATCAAAGCATCTCAGTTTTCTGCGTGAGTGCTCTTACTGTACCCTAGTCAGTAAATTTTTTGCTTTGCACCTTTCATAGTATTTCTTCAATGCATGTTCTTTAGCTGAGTAGCCAGCATTTTAGGTGGCTAATGAATAAAAGAGATTCTTGGCCCATTCATTTGGTCTTTTAACAGTTTCTATGCTCAGAACTTCATCTGATTTTTAACATGGTCTTTTGAACTTGATCCAGTGCATAGGGAATTAAATGGGGAGGCTGAAGGAAACAATGTAGGTCTGATAGGGTTTTTTCATGCTTGTATTCAGTGATTTTGTAGATATGTGAAATAAACCAAACTAGTATTTTGGTAGCTGAGAAGATGAGAGGCCTTTAGAAGAACTGTTGTAACTTGTTATCCTAAATAGTAGGAATCATGCCAGCTGCTGTGGGTGGTCAGTAGAGCAATATTTTATTTTTAACAAATTGTCTTCTGTGCCCAGCTGGTAACACTTTGTACTACTGTCGATGTGAAGTTGTATTTCATTCTCGTGCTTCTTTAAACTTGTGCATAGTTCTTTGGAAAAGAGAAAAGGGACTGAACCAGCAGGAGACAACCAAGTATTTCATTCTGCCAGCTGAGTCTGTGGAAGAGAAAAGGCTCCCATCAGTAGAAAAAATATTAGTAAAAAAGCAGGCATGGCTCTGAGTATACACCTCTTTTCAGAGTCAGAAGCCAAGTCTGGTCATCTACCTGGTCAAAGCAAAATGCTCTTTATTTGAGACAGAACTTTTGCTCCGTCCCATTTCTTTTCTCCCACAATGCACTTGTTTCCATTTTAAAAGGGGATTAAAGATTTTAATGCTTGAAATAATTGCAAAATCTTGTTAGCTTCTCTTTGCTTTCCCTTCTTCTTAATGTAAAATTACCATGGGATATTAAATTTAATTTGGAGTCCTAAGAGGAGGTTTATAGCCTGATGTAAAGGCTCTTTTATCTGATCAGGAGTGATCTTCACACATTGTGGTAGCAGATGAACTCCTAATGTGATGTCCCTGACTTCCACAAACCTATGCAAAGAATGTACTCAGTGAATGAGTGTGTGTGTGTGTTTATGTCATTTGGGATTTTTTTTTCTCTCTACAATCGACAATGATTAAAAGGCCCCAGAGAGGTGAACATAGGTGGTTAAGGTTAATTTCAGCAACAGCAAGACACTATGTCCCATGATAAGCTGTTTCATTAAACCTTGCACCTTTTTTAATCTGTGTTTCTGTTTCTGTCTGGCTTTTGTTTTCTCATCTTGTGTCTGTCTCTCCAGTTTCCATGTTTCAGACATAGCATCATTTATTTTTATCATGCATGATTAATTCAGTTTACATAAAGGGTTTCTTGAGAAGGATGGATAAAGTTTTTAAAGGCTTTGTTCAGCCTGAATTTGGATTTAGATGGTTTGTAACTCTTTTCCCTTCAGTGCACATCAGTCTCCCGTTTCTGCTGTGCCCCTTGCTCTTCCCTCCAGCTAACCTAGAGAGCCTTGCCAAAGCTGTCCAACAACAGCTGTTGAGCAACACGCTTAATCACAGACAGTCCTTGCTGTCCGACTGCATTTAATCAGTGTGAAAGATGAAACTGCTTCCAGAAGGTGTGTTATGGAGAGAAAATGAGCAATGAAACAAAGAGGAAAGCAGCTTCCTTACCACTGCTGCAGTAGGGAGAAAGAACAGTTGTTAACCCAAAGGAAAGGAAAATTGGTAAATGCTGTTTTGGTCGGCTCTCCAAAATGATGTCTGTGTGTGCTGAGTAGAGAAGTCATTGTTTTTGGTGTGTCAGTAGGGTAGTCCTGCACTAAGTTTCATCAAGCAGCTACCATGTTTGAGCATGGTGTGCACCTAACTACTGCATGCCAGAAGTGTCTTACACACTGTACTGAAGTGTGATTGAATATTGCATTTCAGTGGAATACCAACCAGCTAGGATATCTGATTCCCACACAGTCTGAAAAACTAGGCGTTTTTTGTACTTAAATAGTTTCTGAAATGGCAGAAATTACAGCCTTTGTTTGCTTTTTTTCTTTAGCTGAATATTATATAAAATACTCAGAGAACATAAAATCTGAGATATTTTTTGTTGTTTTACTAGGGGAAGGAGAAGAAAGAACATCTATATTACCAAAACATGTGGCCATTACATCAGTCACAAAATATATTTCCTATTTGTAGGAAGAGAAGGCCCAGGAAGGCAAACAGAGCACCAAAGATATGCTCTTGTAGTTTTTTAGGAAAAAATACAAGGACTAGATGCAGTTTCTGGAGAATGTCAACTTGTTACTGTCTTGGTGCTTGCACTGGTAGAGATATAGACCTCCTGAGAAAAATTTGGTCTGCACTGGACACCTTGTGAAATCATACTTCATCAGCTATTTTGTTAGTCCCCATCAAGCATACAGATGGTTTCAATTGTTTCTGAGTTTGTCTGAAGAAGGCTGTAACGTAAATCGATACCAGAAAACCAGGGAAAGCTCTTTATTTTTTTCCACTTTGGCCTAGTTTTGCATGGACTAAAAACTAAGATAGTGGAGTGTAAGGGAACAGGAAACATTTTAATGAGGGAGGAGGTAGCATATTTTGAAAATGTAACCCCCTCATAATTTGGGTATTGGGTCTGTCCGGAGAGACAGAGTAGAAATAATGTGAATAATTTTTAGCCAGGATCTAAATGGGTAGAAACTGATTTATCTTCCTTAAACAGTAGATGTATGAGGGTTTTCTGCCCTTCTTGGCCCCAGCATTCCCATAAGAAAACTTTTCCCTCTTTGTAAGCACACACAAGCAAGGATAGCCGGTGAGATTAGCAAGCTGATGCCATGGGAAAGCTCTGGAGTTACTGCAGCCTGTCTGCTAGGAGTTATGTCCTGTCATTTATTGCAGACTTGAGGTAGAGAAGGTTGGAATTATCCTTTGATTCTTACTGGGATCATCATTTGCTCTAAAATTCTTGCTTCTTAACAAATATCCTAGAAAAGTTCCTATTCGGTGCTTCCGTTCCAGGCTTGTAATGAAAACTAATAAATAAGAAACAATGCAGTTTCTTATCTCCTTTTTCTAAAGCTCTTGGGATGTAGCTGGCAGCCCTGCAAGAGCCTAAACGTAACAGTCAAAACCAACATGGCAGGAACTGTGCAGAATGTTGGTGTAGCACATGCTTCTATTCTTGCTGCAGTTGAAACTCTCACAGGGTATTTTGTCCTCCTTTGTCAGCACAGAGCATTGCAGGATTACCTCACGTAATGAGTTGAAGGAGTTTGCTGGCTTGCTTCAAAATTACTGAATTCACAGAAGTTGAATACCATCTGAGATCTGGTATGAATGTTGCACTGCAGCAGCCTGAGCAATAGAAATATTCACATATAAATAGCTGAAGTAGCCTGGAAATGCCATTGCTGTATGGAAGGAGGAGGGATTCCAGGACTGCTTGCTTAAGTTGGATGGGTGCTTTGGCACTGAGCAATCTTGGGAACTTTGGAAAGTTTTTGATAATAATTTTCATTTCACATCAAAGCAGACAAAACAATCAAAGAGAGGAAACTTAAGCTTAGGCAAAGTTATTCTAATGAAATGTTTAGAAGAGGGGGAGGAAAACCCTGAGCTTGCATGCTTTTAATTCAAGCTTGTGCAGTTTTATTTGGAAAATCAACAAAAATGTGAAACTTGTAAACCCATGTGAATTTTCTACCAAATAGTAAAGTATTTGAGAATCTTATGTGAAGAACTTTACACTGATTTTTATAATTGTGTATGGTCTGTCCTGAATGATTTTGTGTCCTGGAGGTGTAAACTGTGAGTAGGGTGGGAATAAGTCAGTAGGTTCATTTGAAAAAAGTCCCTCTTTCTGTCTTGAATTTACAAGATAACAAAGCTTATGAGTGACTGTATTTAGTTATGTCCAGCCTTTTTGTTGGAAATTATGGTGCATAAAATATATTCCGAAGTGACTGCTACTTCAGCTCTTGGGATAAGGAGCAGTCTAGCAAGAAAAACCGCTTAAATCCTCCGCCCAGGACTGTCACAACCAGTGTGCTTTGAACAATAGGCAGAGACAAGCAGAGTTACAAATCTGTTCTAAAACGCCAGAACTGCCTGATTTTGAAATGATCTCTTCTTGATGTGGAAAGTCCCAGAAGCCTGCTATCTCATCCAAAATACAAATCCTGCCAGGAGTCCTAAATAGGTAACAGTGCGTGACGGCGGGTTTGATAACGAGCATTCATCTGGCTTCTCCTTGTTTTTCCCCTCACAGTTGTCTGGTGGGTGCGAGCTGACAGTGGTAATCCACGATTTCACCGCCTGCAATAGTAATGAGCTGACAATCCGCCGTGGGCAGACAGTGGAGGTCCTGGAGAGGCCCCATGACAAGCCTGACTGGTGTCTGGTCCGAACCACAGATCGGTCCCCAGCTGCGGAAGGCCTGGTCCCCTGTGGGTCCCTCTGCATCGCTCACTCTCGCAGTAGTATGGAGATGGAGGGGATTTTTAACCACAAAGGTAAGAAATTATGGAAACAAAGTCTAGTCATCGGCAGTGTGAGTTTTGGGAAATGGGGAGAAAAACTTTGGTGGTTTTGCACTGTCTTGGGTTCAGCAAGCATGCTGTCTATTCCAAGAATAAGTAGTTGGCAGTTCTCAGTGTTAAGTGAAAATGTGGCTCAAGATAGGGAAGACATTTAAGCAAATGATATATCATGGTGAAGAGTTTTATAGATTCAGCTGCAGTGATAGGAAAATCTATACCTGACGTGTGCTGAAAGAGGAGAGGGAAGGAAATCTCCAGCATGGATTATCAATGGTTCCTGAGAAACCCTGCAGTAAGAAGTCATGACAAGATCAGGTTCAGTGATGGAAAAGGTAAATAGACTCATCCATATGGCCTGGCACAAGTATTTTACTTAACTGAGTTTTTCAGAGTAGCAGTGGCATACTCATCCCTTTTTCTCAGAGGAGCTCTGAAATATTACTTTGGTTCTTTTCAGATGCATGAAAGAATATTCTTCTGAAGGGTGAAAGAAAAATCTTATGATTCTTTTGAAAGTTTTTAAGGATTTAGTGTGTTGTAGTCCTTTGGCTCTCTAAGCTCCCCAGGCTCACAGTGTAGATTGTTACTAGAGAAAATGCTTGCTTCATTTGCAACTATTCAACTTTGCAGGCTGTGAACAGAAAGAAATGTAAATAAAAAAAACCACACCAGGAAAGGGTTCACTAGAAGGCATTTCGTCACATGGTGCTTCAAAAAGTTTGTTATTGTGAGTAACAAGATTAGCAGACAAGTAGTGTTGGGGAAAATTTGTTTTCCAGCACACAAAATTTGGATTTTTGAGAGTTTTTCATATATATAACCACAATATTATCAATTATTGGGTCCATTCCAGCCATTACAGTTTTTCCCAGTTTTTTTTCAGACACTGTATAAATATTCTTGACTAAAACAGGAATGAGTCTGTGTTTCTTCCATTAGGGGCATGCACAGCAGGAACTTCCTGAATGCAGGGTGATTGAGGGGGAGGGGGAGCTTGAAGGATTGAGCTGTATAGTTGTAATACTTCCTTGTCCTCTTGTGTCCTGTAACAATTTGGATAAAGAAAGCTTGCAGATGTTCTCATGATAAAATTGGAAAATGTAGTTGGGTATCAGTAAAACATTTCTTCCTTTGACTAGGGGGTGGAATCATGGAAATGTCAACAGGATTTTTTTTTTAACTACACTCACAGAATTGATAAATCCAATGTCCTTTGGAGCTAAGAGGCTTCACCTTTGAATGCAGAGGATTTCATTAGGAGAGGCAGATTGTACTGGACAGTACATATATTAGATGAAGTACATTGAGCTTGTCAGACTCCTGAGAGACAGACAGACCTGGTTTTGTGTTTGAGACATTACTTTTATTAACCAAACCAGTGTGCATAACCTCTACTGCTTTTTTTCTTCAGCATTTGTTTAGGGAGAATGGGGCAGAGCATTTTGAAGTTACTTTACTTTGTTTAATGTGGTACTTTGAAATAAAGAGCATTAATTAATTATATTAATCACGGAGAGTGAAGAAGAAGAGAAAACCGCTGCTAGAATGAGCATGATTTGCAGGGTTGAATGCAGCCTCAGAAGAGCCTTCTGTCACTGCCACAGGCTTCCTGCGGGATGTTATGGTATGCCATCTAAACCCCAGCTGATAAGAAGCAGCTGCTGATTGTTTATTCCCACATTAGTGGGTGTCAAGCTTAAAGAGATGGATGTTTAATTTGTAAAGTTTCCCGTGTGTGTGACTTAAGTCAGTGTGAACTGTCTTGAACATGCAAACTATTATAAAATGTTAAATAATCTAGGGAGGGGTTAAAAAAAAGGTACTTGAAACCATTTATATGTTTCATTTTGGTCTCTACCTCATCTTTCTATTGCTTGAAAGAGTTTGATAGTCTTCATTTTACAGAGGGTTTACAAAAATTAAGCAAAACTAGTGGAGTGCTTTGATGTTATTTTTCCCCCTGTAGTGAAAAGTACCTCAGACAATCCCACAAACCAATTATTCATCTCAAGTACTGTATTTGATTAAAGATCTTTAAATAAAGCATTGGGGAATATGCTAATCAGAAGAATGGAAAAAACAATTAGATGAGCTTCTCAGAACTGTTCATTGTGGGCATTGATTGAGGTAAGAATTCCTAAAAAAAACCAAAACAAATTCTGTAACAAAGAACAAGTGAATGACTTACATAATTTAAGGCAGTCCACATTCTTGGGTGGATAACTTTTAATGTATGTCCTAGATTTCTAGTACTTGATTCTGTAGCTTCAGTCTTTTTAATACAGATTTCTTTTTTCCTTTTTTTGACCATAATTCGGTAAAACTTTCAGAGTTTTTGAGAGATTGGACAAATTAGAATATTGCCCCCTGGAATTTTTAGGTCTGAAAATACACATCATATGTGAGACTCACAGTGTGAGCATCAGGTTGGAGTAATTTTGTACAGTTCATGGGCAAAGCCACATGCAGTAGATATGAGTCTAGAATTTTTGCGTGTCTGACATCACAAACTTGTGAGAGGCTGAGGGAGAGAAGTTTTATGTATTATAGCAAGGGAAATAAGGAGGTGGTCACTGACAGAAGTGGTGGCGTTGGCTACTTGGATGTTGCATGTTTAGCCTATACAGATGACTTGAGGAGTTTTGCACTCCTTTCAGTATCTATGGACCTACAATTTTGATCTTTTCAACAGTGTTTATCAGTACCATTTGCCAATGAAACAAGTTGGAAAGCCACGGCACATCAGGTGAAGGGAGCTTCACAGTTTTGAAATGGCAAACCTTTTGTAGTTGACAGCTGGTTTTTAAGTTGTGTCAAACCGCATTCCATCACTGAGTACAGAAATGTTGGGTGGTACTTAATGCCCTGAATAATCTGAAATTATTATCCAAAGTAGGGGAACGTGCAAGTTTATTAAAGCAGAAACTATCTTCAGTGAAGCCTAGTTCTAACAGCTGATCTTGGTCATTCCTTGTCTGTCCACATATTATCTGTCAACAATGAAAGGTAATGTTGTTCTATTCCCATGTTAAAAGACAGCCCCAAAAATGACCCTCATCATTTGCCTACAAGTGTAGGTGTTACTTCTGTTCTACAAATGTGTATTAACTTAAGCATCTAATCAGTATCAGTAGGTAAAAAAAATATGCATTTCCATTATCTTCAGTCTCTAAGATTTTATAGTAGTTAGCTTATCAAAAACTTTGTTAAGCATATGAGGAAAGCATTACTCAGAAAAGATGTTAACTAGGTAGATAGTAATTCAGGGGAGGACTTGATTGCAGGATCCTGACCTCTTGATTGCTCTGCTGGATATCAAATCTATTTTTTTTAATTATTTGGGTCATTTAATCAAGTTATGCAGTTTACAGATGAATACATTTTTAAAAAAAATGTAGATCCCTTTCATAATGGGGGGGAAAGAGAAACAAGTGGGTAGTGAAGAGGCTCAATAACAGTTGGTGCACTCTACAAAAAATAAATCACTAGCTCTGGAAGAACATGTTTTTCACAAGTAATACATAAGGCAACATTTTTTTTTTTACATGATTTCCCACATGTTTCTGGGCGTGGGGAAGAAAGAATTTTCCTGTTGTTTTACTTGATGCTTCTCTTTTTCAACATGCATTTCTTCTCATCCTGTGGTACATCTGTTTTTATATGTGCAGTTCTCTTTTGTTTGCAGGGCATTTATACTGCCACTGGGCTTTGGGTAAAGGGCAAGGGACAGGATACAGTGATATGTAAGCTTAGAAAAATTTGCAGCTATTTAAAATTGTTTGTGAATATCTTGCCTGTTTAGATCACAAGTTCACTGTCTTTTCCAAATTCATGGGTACTTCTGAAGAATTCCTGATAGTGCATCATATCCCTTCTGTAGGCACTACTGTTCAGAGAACTTTAAAGGCTACAACAAGTTTCTGATCATGAGGCCACATTTATATGTCTTTTTTAGGTTATGGGATTTTTGGGGGACCATGTCTAACTGCCAATTCATGTTACTATCTGTTTGTTCCAAAAATTGTCCACAGAGGTCTTTTATTTACCTGGAGGTACAATATCTGCCTGTTTTATACAGTTGTGTAATTCAGGCATCTGTGTAGGTTTGTTCAAATCTGAGAGGCTGGTGATGTCTTAGTAGCATAGTGCCAAACCACACACCTCTCACATACTGAATGCTGGCTTTTGATTTTACTCTCAGGATACTGTCCTGACTGGTGCCATAAACAGAAAAATGTTGTTTCAGCAATCTCTTTTTTTCTCCAGCTGTAGTCTCTCTCAAAGAATATACCATAGTAAGGAAGATCAAATGGCTTTCCAAGACAAAGGTTGGCAAATTTGTTCAAACAGCCATGTAGTAAGCCATTGTCTACACCTGCAAGATGGGAAGGAGTGATGTAGGGCAGGTGTCAGAGCTCTTCTTGAATTGGTATAGGGACCTTCTGTTCAGGAATTAGGAAAAAGAAAAATTGCATGGGTGATCTAGATATGTTTCCCAGAAAAGAGAGATATTTTATAGCGGAGGCCACAGAATGGGGTAAGATGGAGTCTTGAATTTGTTGCATGAAGTAAGCTTGTGCTTGTACAACTGGAGACCTTCTATTCAGAATATTAATTTTCAGTGAAGGGGGAAGGGGAGAGAGTAAAGGTAAAATGTCTCATGTGTGATCAAGAGCTTTGAAAGTTATGGTTGAGAAATGGAGTGTTTCGCGCTGAGTCCAAATACTTTTTTATGTAGGAAGAGGAAGCTCTGGATAGCAGCAGTAGAATTTGATTGAGTAAAATCAGGATCCAGTTTGGATAATGGAAGAAGGACTCCCTGTTTGTAGTGGAAGAAAATAAGGGCGACTTGGGCAGCAATTGTTTGCTTACAAGCAGAGAGAGGCTGTAGAAGGGGAGGATTTGCTCTTTTGAAACAGCGAGCAAGTGAAGCATGGGCCATGTGTGAGGAAAAAGGATCCCCACCCGTGGCT